AGAGAGAGGGGGAGGAGCTCAGTCATCCAGGGAGGTTAGGATGCCTCCTGGACGTCTTCCTGGTGAGGTGTTCCAGGCACGCCCTACGGCCTCCTCCCACCGGGAGGAGGCCCAGGGGGAGACCCAGGAAACGCTGGAGGGAGCTGGCCTGGGAACGCCTTGGGATTCCGCAGGAGGAGCTGGCCCAAGTGGCTGGGGAGGGGGATGGACACACCGAATACTGAAATAAGATTTGTGAATTATATTTAAACAGTATATTGTGTATTTTGTTTTAGGATTATAACTGGGGTCTGAAAACCTAATTTTGAGGGTCTCTAAGTTGGGATATTTCTCTTATTACCATGTGAGGATGTTATTTATGGTTTATTATGAGGGAGAGGTTCACATCGAAGGCACGTCTACAACGTAGCTGAACTTTTGATCAAATTAGTGGGAAACAAATTAATTTGTAAAAAAAATGCGACTATAATCAATTCATAACCTTATGGCAGTGATTTTATCAGACAACCAGGAGAACCAGTGGCTACTGGAGTAACACCCCATGCTTTGGGCTAAAAGAGCATCTCGGGTTTCTTTGCAGGCTTTCAGCCAGCAGTATTGATTGTGTTGCTCTGACCAACAGATGGGTTCAGTCTCAGGACACAGCTGGATCCGATGTGATGTCCTTAAAAACATGGAAATATGATCTACTGGGAAACCTGAGCTTGACGTTGATAACTGATGCAAAGTTTTAGAAACATTTCAGATAAAAGAGGGACGCTGACTGATTTTCAACTTAAAATAGAGACCCTTCAAAGTAATGTTGGATAGGATATTGAAGGAGTGGCTTTAGGACCATTTGCCTTAACATTATCTTAAACTTAATTCAAATGTATTTTCTTTGCCGGGAATCATCGCTGTAAAATATTGTCTTTTTATGCCATAAAAACATTTAAAACTGAAACAATATTATATTGATATTTTACACATCAGTCCCCTAGACCAGGCATCCCCAACCTCGGTCCTCGAGGCTCGCTGTCCTGCAGGTTTTAGAGGTTTCCCTGCTTCAGCACAGCTGATTCTGATGATTGCTGTTCAGCAAAAGCCTGTTAATCAGCCTTCAATTAAAATCAGCTGTGCTGGAGCAAGGAAACCTCTAAAACCTGCAGGACAGGCTGGGGATGCCTGCCCTAGACTACACATATCCCAACATTAGCAAGGATCAACCGATGTCTCATTAGACCTGACCTCTGCAGCTACACCTTGGAGCACCACCATGTCCTGGCTGTTAGTTCAGTTGTTCAGCTAGTTAATAAATTTAGCGGTAATCAGTTAAAAAATTAAAATGATAATTTTCGTTGTGATCACTGAGTCTGGAAGCGGCCATTTTCGCCCAAATATAGTAGCCCCTCCCTCCTGCCATCTTCCAGCAGTGACGTCACGGTGCGGTAAGCCTAGCGCCATTCTCCCCGCTTTCCAAGCTAAATCAATGGGAACTACTAGACACATCTGCAATCAACAACCATTATTGAAGATTTCCAGAGGACTTCACCATTGAAATTCACCAGAGCTATAGTGAAACTGACAATGCCCACGTGCATGGCAGCTGGATGCTGGAATACATCGGGTAAAAGTGGAAAAAAGAGTTCTTCCACCTTTCTGATTCCTGATCCTCCACGGACGGGTTGGTCGTTGGATCGCCAACTTGAAGAGGGAGGATTTTCCAGACTAAAAACCCGTAATATGTGGCCAACATTTGGAAGAAGAATGTTTTCAAGATGACTTGGATAATAGCGCGTTGTGACAAACACCAGATACAGCACTGGGACTTGATCAACAGCCGATACCGCACCGTGACGTCACTAACCAGTAGGTGGCAGTAGTGTTCTTTGACAAACATGGATGCCTCCAGTAAAGCACATTCACATGAAAATTACTCTGAATTAAAAACATTTATTGAACAGGATGGAATCATTTCAGATTTAAAGAACTTTCAGAAGTTTGAATTCTGAACTTTTACGTTAAAAAATTGTCAGTTGCTTTTTTCTTGTACTTGCTGCTTGTCTGTTTACTAAAATTACATGAAATCAAACTGTACCATATAAAATTGTAGTCAAAGTTGAATTAGCCACAAAATTTTTTTTTTAAATTTTCTTCCATAAATCATTGCCATGGCTAAGATGGTTCTGTGTTGAGCTTTATTTCCAAATATTTCTACCCTTTAATGTTGTGAACTGAGAGAAAAAAGTGGGAACTTTCCTGCGCCTTCTTTCTTATTTAGATCAATATATGATTGTTGATTTTTTATTTTTATTTTTTTAGCAAACACAACATTTCAAAATGAATGCAAGGTTTTTTAAGTGTAGTATATTAGTGGACTGAGGCATTATATCTGCATGCAGTGCATAATTGGAGCTCTCCTTTCACTCACTGGTAACACAACTCCACCCACAGCCCGGCTCCCCTGGGAGCAGGAGGGAGGAGGAGGAGCAAGAGGAGGAGGAGGAGAGCCGCACCTGCTCCCCGCTTCAGCTTCACTTCTAGGCACAGAGGCCTAAAACAAAAGGTTCCTCTCATGGCCTCAGCAGAAAGACGTTTAGTCCAGTTTTAGCTTTATTTTTAACTCTTTGTCTGAAAATAAAGTAAATAAAATGTCTGCCGTGAACCAGGTGGTCATTTAGGTGGAAATTAAAGTCATTTCCTGTCGTAAATGTTTGTTTTCCAGTAACCATATTTAACTGCTGTTGCTTTTTGTCATTAGTTCAAACCTTTTATGTAGAATCTGAGAAAATGATGACATCTCTCAGTTTATGCTCACAGGGAGAAATAGAGAGATCTGAGTCATGTGAAGGAAAGTGTTATTAGAGGTAGATGTTGAAATCCAGGATTTGGATGAAGGATGAGCAGAACTGAACCAGATCTGCATCAGGACCATCCAGCTCTGACGGAGGAGTCTAACCTCCTCCTCCTGCTGCTGATGGTGAGCCTGTCTTTAGCCTCAACACAGCACAACAGAAACTTGAACGGTTCAGGGGTGGGGGGTGGGAGGGCAGTGCAGTAAGGAAAGAGGCAGGGGGGCCACACCATTACAGGAAGCAGATCCCCATTGCCTTCAAAATAAAAGTCTTCAGTTAGACACCCTAAGCGTTCAGGTAGACTAAATAAGAAACATGGAGAAGTGAAACTCATTTTTATGAATGCTGTGAAATATTCCCAGAGGTGTCAAAAGTATTCATGTTTATTACTTCATTAGAAGTATACATCCTACTGTTTAAAAAAACTTAAAAAAAAACCCTGCTGGATGGCTGCCTTGGCTGTTGACAGGGGGGTGGGGCGGATTTACCATTAGGCAATACTAGGCAGCTGCCTAGGGCCCCAAGTTCCTGGGGGCCCCATAAAACTCTGTTTCCATGTATGGTTAATACATTAATAACATTGTAATAACTAAAATGCCATCAGAACGCTGATAATATTAGGTGTGTCTCAGCCCCCCCCTTCAGTGTCCACCATATTGGATCAGTCCATTTGCTGCACATGTTCAGAAAGGTCCAAACAGACAGCAGCAAACCATTTGAAAACAAACCATGCAAAGAGCAGTGTTGCCAACTTAGCGCTTTAGTCGCTATATTTAGCCACTTTTCAGGCCCCTCTAGCACTTTGATTTCTAAAAAGCTCCTAGCGCCAAATCTAGAGACTTTTTTCTGCTACTGGAGACTTTGGAGACAACATCTAAAAGCAGCGAACTCTGCTCTCCAGAGCGAGTAGATTGGTAACCCCGCCTCCTGCTCTCCTCTATCTTGTCTGCTGTCATGATTCATGCAGCTATTATTTCATCCAAATGAAAAATGGAGAACAGATAAGCAGATCATGGCTTGTCTACAGTGAAAAGAAGGACTGGGTTATTTACTTTGGCCTTTTTGGAAACACAGGAAGGAGCAATCAGCTAAGTGAGCTTAGTGCTTGGAGAAAATCTTTCATTCCTTTAGAGTAGGGTTGCCAACCTTCCCTTGAAAAGTGGAATCGTTCCATATTTATTAAGAGAAGTACCTGTTCTGTATTTAGTGGAAGAGGAACGCACTTTGTCCCGTTTTACTGGGAGATTGAAAAATAGTCAGTAAAATGCTAATGAAAAATGAAGAACAAGGGCGCGTTAGATCAAAAACTTACGGTAAACTTGTTCCCGTCCCTGTCCTGCTCTGTGACCAATGAGCTGACAGCATATATGTAACGATCCAGAATCCCCTCGTCCCATTGGTCGAGTCAAGTGTTGCTCATGGAGAAGATAGATAAAAATCACCATTCAGGAGGGGTGAAGGCAGTCAGGTCAGGTGTGATGGACATGAGGGTCCCTTAGAGAGGAAAAAACAACAAAAGGGACAAGAAGAGAGGGACAAAACCTAGAACAAATAATGGATGTCTATTCTATTAACATTTCTCTATCTGTTTCATGTGCTGTCTTCTCATTCAGATCCCCCCCCCCCAAGGAACTTGGGGCCCCGCCTTGTATTGCCTGATGGTAAATCCTCCCTGACTGGAGAAATAAACATGAATCTTATTCCTTATCAATCTTTTAATTTTGTTGGCCAAATTTCACTTGCATAAATTTAATTTTCTAAAAAAAAAAACCGGACTTTAAAGCTTATTTAATAGAAATCAAACAATATTTTCATACAATTCATCTTTCTTCTCATCAGAAAGCTCAAAAAACCATAACAATCTGTTCCCAACTAGAAATTCTAGACAACTTAATGTTGTAGAAGATATATATATTTGTATAATACATACACATATATATATATGACACTCCCCAGCGCTGATGTTTATATAATTGCATGTTTTTTTCTCCTAACTGAACTTGTTTATTGTGACATACCCCCTGGCATATTTATTTGTTTGTTTGTTGTTTGTTTATACACTGTTTGTTTATACATTGTTTGTTTATACATTGTTGTGTGACTTTAAGTGAAAAAAAAAAAAAAAAAACATGAATCTTATTGCGATAGAGACCGGAAGCGGCGTCATTTCCGCAGACTTGACTACTGATGAACGGCGACATCAGTGCGATTCAAAGAAAGGAGGGATGAGAGTGAGCAGAGGAAGCAGAGAGAGGTAGAACCGCTGCACATCTGGACACAGCTGGAGGAAAGCAAGCAGCCCGGCGGCCTCCATCAGCTCCGCAGCTTCCTCTAAAGGTAAACAACCTTCCTCCTCCTCATCATCATCATCTTCATCGCTCCAGGTCGGTTCAGCAGCGGAACATGACATCAGCCGACCTGATGTTTACCTCATTCTTTCACCTTAGAAGATGTTTCCCTTTTCTCTTCCGCATAAACCAAACCTGCTGATTTCCTTTTCAACAGCACACCTGCTCAGCATGGCCGTAGCTTTGCATGGGGACATGGGGACATGTCCTTACCAACATTTTGGACCGACCTATTTGTCTCTAGCAATAATGTGAATTATGTTTGTAATTTCCTGCAGTAGTTGTTGCAGCAGAAATGCAGACAGAAATAAATAGCAGCGGAGAAATAACTAGGGTAAAAAAATACAAAGGAAGAATAAAACAGACACAAATCAAATAATCGGCCCCCTATCGGTATCGGCCTTAAAACTGAATATCGGACATCGGCCCCCCCACCGATATTTAACCCATATTTGATCAGCTTCTCAGTTTCTAAAGTCTAAAAAAAAAACTTCTTCTTCTTCCTCAAAAACTTCTTTTTTACAGACTTAAAAACTTCTAAAGACGAGGGAAAAAATATTGATCCATTAAAATATCCCAATATCTTCATATGCTGATATATTGCCATTTAAAAACACCATATCAATCTCTTTTACTAATGAAATATTGCTATATGTCATCGTTATGCTACGAAATCCCCCGAAAATTCACCAAATGTTGCCATATTTTTATATGTTGATATATTGACGCGGTATCGATCTATTTTACTAACAAAATCTCACAAGAATTTGCAAAATATCACGAGAGTTTGTAACAGAACGATGAAATTTCACCAGATTTTGAAAGTAAAATAGATCGATACAGCGGTTTTAAAAATTAATTTGATATCAGCATATGAAAATATATTTGAGTATATTATTTTTCAAAGTGTCAGAAATGGATAATAAAACTGCTATTTTCAAACTACTTATTTTTGTCCAGCTTTAACATCGGTATCGATATCGGTTATCGGCTACATGAGTTTTAAAATATCGGATATCGGCCAAAATCCCAATATCGTGCATCCCTAATTATAACATGCACGTAAATAAATACTTTAAAATATAAGTAATTAAAAAATAAAGTTGAAGTTAATAAATGACCCAAAAAAAATCAGGTAAATATTACAAAGGCAAATAAATAAAGAAGCAAATTAAAAGAGTTATAAACATTTATGTCTCACTGTATAATTTAATTTCTACTTACATTTATTTGTTTATTGTATTTTTGGTGGCAATTAATTGTATGCTTATTTATTTATTGAGCATTTATTTATTTCTGTATTTATTTTTAAATATGGCAGAGTTGGTCCTCCATACCTGTGTGCTTGGAGCGCGAAATAAAAAAAAAAACACTAGAATACGACGGTTACCAAAGTTAATATTAGGCTAGGAAACTAGTCCCAATTAAAAAACTAAATATCATCTACGCTAAAAAAGGCAAAAGCTTCTGATTGCTGAACTGCCAAGAAGCAGGAGAGAGTTTGGATTTATGGAACTAGAGAAATGAAAGTAACCAATGTTAGGATTTCTTTATTAAACTAAGAAAACGGCTGTTAAAATGAACAAAGACTGTAAACTATCAATATTTCTGATTCCCTTTCACCAATATTTCTATTAATGTTTTCATTTTTGAGGCAGTTCAGGTATAAATCACAGGTTTTATTTGTTTTGTAGAAGATAACAACATGAGATGGATGATTAAGATCTGATATGTTTTGTTTTCACATCAAAATAATTCTATTTAATTGATTCTTCGTCTAAAAATAGGATAAAGACAAACAGAGGAATTCTATTTACACTGATTCTATTTTTCTAGATTTCCACACGGTCCATAAGTAAATTAGTACAAACATTAACGTCTGGTAAATAATGCTGGAATCTGGCTGTTTATTTTGGTTACTATTACATTACAGATAAGATAGTGTTAAATTGTCTTTTATAATTGTTAATATGATTTTATATTTAAACATTAGAGATTGAACAAACAGATTCTGCAGAGTGGGAGAATAGAGATAGATGAAGCAGAATGATGAAAAAGGGGTCCCTATGTCCTCCAGCAGTCTAAGCCTATAGCAGCAGAACTATAGAGATAGCTCAGGATAACCTGGGCTTGACATGGTTGACAGTTCTCTTCTCTTTCTTACGCTCCTCCCCACTTCTTCCAGCTCCTATCTGCTCAATGCTAAGCTCTTAGTTTTTTCATCCTTAGCAAATGAGTGACTGATATCCAGGATGACAAGAAAGGAATCAAGCTCTTCTCATAAATATCTTTCTGTGTCTGGTCAAGTCCTCAATGAGTCTTCCATCTTATTAAAGATAAAGCTGCTCATTCAGGCATAGCTGCAGAGGACTACTGCTGCCAGCCTCCCACCGAGCAAACCTTGGTTGAAAAGACAACATGATTTACGTCAAAAGCACATCTACATTTGGTTGAAAGGCCATTATTTTAAGATTGTTTAAAAGACGTTGAAAACTGGATTATTAACGCCTTTTCAACGTCTCTCGTTGGACTAAAGTGGGACAGAATCAGGCAGACCAAACCAGATGAAAGTGCGCATTCAGCTCGGCAAAGAACTCATGCTCTTCCTCAACACTGAAGTCCTCAGACATTTTTCTTTCGTTGTTTCTTTCTTTGCACAGGTAAACAGCACATTTCTTCTTCTACGCTTGCATTATCGGCAGAGCAGACGCTGAATGCGCACTTTCATCTGGTTTGGTCTGCTGGCTTCCGTAGCGTCATGAACGCGCCGGCGCGCACTTTCAGGAAATCCTATACACTACTGTTTATGCTCTAAAAACATTCTAAATTACTTCGTTTCGAGTAAATTCTGGATGCTACCTACTCAGGACACTTGGAATACATTGGACGAGCAGTATGGAGGAATATTGACACGTTTTTTGTGGACTTTTATGGACCTTTCTGCCTCGGGCGCCATAGACCTCCATTATTTGAATGTCAGCAGACAGCAAGAAGCCTCCCAGATCTCCAGATGCATTTGAGATATCAAAAAAGTACTCCAGGGTGTTGTTCAGCATGGGGGTTAGTAGAAAATGAAGGCTAATCATGTTTTGGGTGTACTATTCCTTTAAGTGACAGGGTGTGCTGCTGCAGGCGACCTTAATAAGGTGGTGAGCAGCAGAGAAGGGTCTGGCAAATGAAGATGAACGAGTGAATTTTGTGTCCATTGTGAAGGGAGGGCCAGTTGACTGATGAATACAGAGTGCAGTGGTGCACCTGATGGCGGAATGGTAAAGACTCTCGAGTTTTGATAGAGTGGACTACAACCCTATATAAAGCCTTAAATGGCCAAGCTCCATCTGATATCAGAGATCTGATTGTTCCTTATGTTCCTAACAGAGCACTTCGCTCTCAATCTGCAGGTTTACTAGTGGTTCCTAGAACTTCTAAAAGTTCTCAGGCTCCTCTCCTGTGGAACCAACTACCAGTTTTAGTCCGTGAGGCAGACACCCTGTCTACTTTTAAGGCTAGGCTTAAAACTTTCCTTTTTGATAAAGCTTCTAGTTAGACTGGCTCAGGTTATCCTGAGCTATCTCTATAGTTCTGCTGCTATAGGCTTAGACTGCTGGAGGACATAGGGACCCCTTTTTCATCATTCTGCTTCATTCTATCTCTATTCTCCCACTCTGCAGAATCTGTTACTACTGGCTCAGAGTTTGTCTGATTAACAGTTTCTTTCCCAGACAAAGCCACCTGTGAAGCTAGTTTACTGTTTGATAAGATAGCTCACAGCTTCAATTTTTTTTCTTTTTCTATGTCTGCTTCTGTCTCCTTGAACCCCAGTGGGCCTCAGCAGATGGCCGCTCACACTGAGCCTGGTTCTGCTGGAGGTTTCTTCCTGTTCAAAGGGAGTTTTTCCTCTCCACTGTCGCTACAAGCATGCTTAGTGTGAGGGATTGCTGAAGAGTCAATGAGTCGATGCAATCAGCTGGTTTTCCTTAGATAGAAAACTTTGAATCAATCTGACTGGATGATCTGGTGAACTGGAAAGTGACCTGAGATGACATGATGTGAATTGGAGCTATAGAAATAAACTGAATAGAATAGTGTCTCCATGGTCTAGAATGGGTAGAATGGTCATTTGGATAAGAGTACGTTTCGCAGAAGTGGTGAAGGATTTCTGTAAAGGAAGTTTTTTGCTGCTGTAAGCACCAGAATTTCTCCATTGTGGGACAATAAAGGGATTTTCTATTCTATTCTATTCTATTCTATTCTATTTGTAAGGGCAAGCATCAAACAGTAACTTGTCCATTAAGGGTTGATACATGTCTATTGAAATTTTTCAGTAAAAATTTTTTCTGTTGTTTTTCTGTCTAACTTCATGGCATTTCATTTTTTTTCAGTACTAACATTATTAAAAAAATCATTTTTATCCTTTATTCCAGGTTCTATTTTCTCTATAAAGTATCAGCTCCATGGATAAAGACTCTAAACTAACGAGTTGACCTACCTGCCTCGTCAGGACAGGAGTGATTTTCATCATCCTCACAAGACGTTTTCTAGAGATGTTTAGAACTTTCTGTACATTTCCCAGTTTAACTCACTCTTCTGCATTTCTGTTCTGCCAGTTCTGATTTATTTCATTACATTAAAGCAGTTATTTAGATTCATGATCTTCGACTCTTATCATGTTTTGTAAATTTTCCATTCAGATACATTAGGCAGTCTACCTGAGACAGACCTGACGGACCCAGTTGGAGCCAAAGAATGGAAGTGTTGTTGGGGTTTCTGTTCCTCACTTCTGTCGCTGTTAAGGCAGATGGTAAGTTTCCCTTCAACACCTCTGAGTTATCAGTTTTCTCTGAATGAATTATGCACCATATCAGAGGGAAGGACTATGACAGACCTAAACATTTCTTTAATTGTACTTCATTTCAGTTGACTTTTTATGCCAATTCAAAACACAACTCACCTCAAGGTTCTTTATGGAGAAAATCCAATCAGATTGGTTAAAAGTTTTCTATCTAAGGAAACCCAGCTAACTGCATCCAGTCGTTGACTTTGCACGATTCGCTTCTGCCAGATGAGCAGGTGGCATTTTCTCCTTGCATAGAGTGATAGTGGAGAGGAATAACTCCCTTTAACAGAGCAAACCTCCAGAGGAACCAGGCTTAGTGTGAGTAGCCATCTGAACAAACGATGCAGAAACACGAAAGGAACTCAGAAGCACCGATCTAGGAGGAAACTGTATGTGAGAGAGAAGTGGGAGGTTAGTTGCAGTTGTAGTTCCAGCGGTGGTTTCATCTAGGAGAGAAACAGAATGAAGCAGCCAGGATCCTGCGTCAGAAAGTCATCAAAGCAGAACAGCTACCAATCCGAAAACACAAAAAAAACAGCTTAGCTTTGAGTTCAAAGCTTCATCGAGTAGCCCAACAAATGCTTGGTCTGCTTAGACAGCATCCAAATTATACTGGAAGAGCAGGTCCACTATCTAGTAATGCAGAGGTCTTTGTTAGCCTGCAATACGTGATACTGGTCTATGTCTCTGGAAGAGGAGTCGTTAGGGGGCATTGTTGGCCTGACTGACCAGGCGAGATGTTTCTGTATCCTGCATGGCGGTGGGGGCTGCGATGATAGTGGGAAGGAATCAACTCTATTGCTGAATTGTAGGATTTTAAAAGCTGAAACCTGAGTCCACCGCCTCTGTTTAAGGTTGGTTTATCTCTCTCTGATTCCCAAACCCATCGCCATGCAGGGGAGCAAGACATCCCACCTGGTCAGCCAGGTCAACAACGGCCCTAACAACTCACCTTTTCAGATGCATAGGCCTGTGAAGGGTATTGCAGGCTAACAAAGACCTCAACCACTCCCCATTACTAAGGAGCGGACCTGTTCTTCTGGTTTAATTTGCATGTTTTCTAAGCCAAAACAAGGCTTTTTTTTTGGTCCACTCTATAAAGCCTGGAACTCAACGCCAATTTAAACATTTTTAATTAAAAAAAGCTTCCTGGAAGGGAAGCAAAATGTCTTCAAACTTAAAAAATAAAGTTTTTCCAGCGAAAAATTCTCACAATAACCTGAAAGAACGTCACTTTAACACCTTGATGTTTTCAAACGTTTTTGATGTTATACACTAAAGTAGTTTATTCACTTTTTATCCTTTAATTTCTTCCCAGTGGGAAATGTGTGTGTATCAGGTCACGACAGAGGGCCCATGTTTGAAGAACAGCCGAGCAGTTTAATTTATCCAGAGGGCTTGACTGAAGGCAAAATAACCCTCAGCTGCCAGGCTAGAGCCAATCCACTGGCAACCTACTCGTGGGTAACACACACACACACACACACACACACACACACACCCACACACACACACCCACACACACACACCCACACACACACACCCACACACACACACACACACCCACACACACACACCCACACACACACACACACACACACACACCCACACACACACACACCCACACACACACACCCACACACACACACACACACCCACACACACACACACACACACACACACACATACTCGTTCTGCTATGTGTAGGGAGGACCATATGTTGACTCCCATTGACTTCCATTCATTTTCAGTCATTTTCAAACCTTTCTATTAGGGCTGGGCGATATAGAAAAAAAAGCTTATCGATAAAAAAAAATGCATATTGATCGATATCGATAATTATTGAAAAGATTTGAAACCATATTTTATGTGCAGCTCTACCTGGACTTTTTATAATATTGCTAAATGATTTAATTTTAATAAAGAACACAAACACAGACTTCCAATTAAATCTTTATTTAACCAACTTTTTTAACCATAACAGAATTGTTTTAAAGAAAAATAACTTAAGAGACCTGAGTTATGTTATTAAATACTGACAAAGAATAAACTAAAGTGACCAAAATAAATATAACAAATAAATAAATGGAACCCCCCCCCCCCCCATCATTCTTCTGAGTTATTAATTTGAAGTTTCAGGCCCCTCAGCATTTTTCTCTCAATTGTTAGAACTATGTGGGAAACTGCCCAGAACTGAAAATATATATATATATATATTTTCCCGAAATTCCCGAAGATTCCTCGGAGGAGAGCCGCGCCGGGGCCTACACAGCTTGTACTCCTGCGGGTGTTAGCGGCTGAGATGTTAATAAAAAAGTTGGTTTCGTTATCAGACTTGGTTTTCACTGGTTCCCGACACATTTTCCAGATGACTGTGGTTTGTTTTTGGTCCGACTTGCCATGACCGAAATACTGCCAAACTGCAGAACTACAAAAACCCTTCTTTGGAACAATTTCCTCCGCCTCTCCTTGCTGCGACATCTTCATGTGCTCTGTGTTGTGGTTTGAGAGGGCGGCGCTTGGTGACGGCGTGCCTGGGTCCGCGATTGCGATTGGTTGGGAGGAAGTAGCGACTAGCATAAACCTACATGCTAGGCTACAATGAGAAGGAAGGAAAACTGCGTTTCTTTATCGAACTTTTATCGACTCTCTTTTTTTCTATTGCGCCACACGTCTATCGATCGATATATATTGAATTATCGCCCAGCCCTACTTTCTATGCCTTAACACTAAAACTAACCCCAAACCTAACCATTACCAATGCATACCTCACCCTAACCCTAACCACCTGAGCCTTTAACCTAACCATTAGCAAATTAGCATGTGAGGACTGGCAAAACGTCCTCACTTTGAAAAAAACGGTGTGATGCAACAATATAATGGTGAAATTGGAAAAATGGTCCTCACTCTGAGGGCTGGACAGGTAGACACACATCACACACACACACACACACCATCATGTTTCTCCATACTTGTTGTACCTCCATTCATTTCTAACCCATTTCTACAGCCTTACTGTGACCCTAAACCTAAACTCATTTCACTCCTTAAGGCCAGATCACAGAAAATCCAACTTTGCATCTGATCCAACGCAAAATCATGTCAGACGAGGTTGTAGCGTTTAGCGCTCATTGAAAGTAAATGGGGATGATTTCCAGCAGGGGGCAGCGTAGCTCCGACTGAGATAGAGACCACGGCCGTTTCTCAAAATGCGTTCTTGAGCGTTCTCGTGTACTCGTGACACGTCATCAGCCTCAGCCAGAGTACCGTTCCGATTCTCGAGAACGCCAGATCGATAATGCATCAAATCCCCGGATGTTGTTCTCGCCCCGCCCTCTTTATCGAGCATGCATCAGAGCAGACTTGTGCGTTCTTCAGACTGACCGCTTCCCCAGAATGCCCCGCGGCCGCAGCTTGATTCCAGACAGCGCTCACAGTGGTAAGTTAAACATTCCCTTTTCTGCTGCTGTTGTTCTTCAAAAGTACGTTTTGAAATCGTTTGAGGCGATAACATTATACATTGAAGCCTCCCTGTGTGGTCTGTTTACAGAGTTAGTGCGAAAAAAAAAAAAAAAGGTCCGATGTTGAGCGGACCAGAGTGACCAGCAGACCTCCGAGGGTAACCGCAGCCAGGGCTAAATTTACCCCGTCTGTAGTGCACTTCTCTCGGTCTAGTTAAAGAACGTTGGATGTGAGGACGTCACGAGTACGCTTCTGTTCCAATACACAATACGCCCGTTCTTGGCGAGAACGCTGGAAGATCGGACTTGACGAGAACGCGAGTACGTACTCGTGTTCTCGTGAAATGAGAAACGGCCCACGTCTATTTTATTTGGACTATGCAGCAATTCAGCAGCAATTTCATGGGTCTGACAGGAAGAGAGATGCAGTTACAAAGTATAATGGGGAAAATCCAAAAATCCAAAATAAAATCTGTTAATCTCACGGGGAAAGAGTCAGTTTGGAGTCGCACATCGCGTTTATAGTAAGCAGGACAGACTGGAGCAAAAACAATGAATGAAACATTAAAATAGAAAACTTTCCCCATGATGGGAGTTCAGGAGGACAGAAAACGGATAAAGTAGTGATCCTCTTTGAAAAAAAAAAAAGTATTTAGTCATTGTTTAAGTTCTCCTCCAGCCCCTCCTTTGGATCCGATTTTCTGCAAAGGGGACCGGAAAACTGAACCACTACGGCGAGAACATCCGGTTTGTCAAATAAAAATACAGTAACAACAGATCGGTAACTATAAATTAGAGCATAATTCTTCTATATTTCAAAAAGCTAACATAGTTTATTCAAAACATTGGATGCAAACTATTGGTTCTTCAACAGACCAGGAAGCAGATTTCTCATCTCCATTAGAAACTGCACATCTGCTGGATGCTGATTGGGATTTATTTAGTATGTCATATTAAATTAAGTGTTCATTTCTGCATGTTTTACTCCTGAGAAATGTATTGATAATATGGCGCATGCTCTCCTTGAGCTCTGAGGATAAGTCGGAGCGCAGCAATACGGGAGGAACAGCGGAGGCTGCAGCTTTGCTTTGCAGGAGGTCTGGATGCTGCGGGGGGGAGACGGAGGATGTGGGATTTCAGGGTAAAAGTTAAGTTAGACACTGTCGTCAGACAACATGCGGTAATTTATACATTTTCGAAATCAGGTTGGGTCCAGATTAGCCAGCAGGTGGGTCAGGATCCGGACCGCGGTCCTCTAATGCGTGACCTCTGCTCTACGCAGACTGTTCTTCCAGCTCTCCTTGGGGAAGCGATAGGTGCTCCCAGGAGTAAAACCAGAAAACAACTAGAATGACACAAAATGGAAAAGAAAGTCATAATTATGAGATATTCAACTTTCAAACTTTGTATCTTATAATTATGACTTTCAATTTGGCATTATTTCTTTTTTCATGTGGCAGAAACGGGCTTCCATAGATACAACATCATATCTTCAATTCAGTTCATCTATTCTTGTAGGCTGAATATCTGAGCATCAGTGTGTGCCAATGAAGTGCATGAAGCACTATTCCCAGGGTCAATGTCCTTGACAGGAGTAACAGTTAGTCAGCCGACCAACAGCGCAGCTTCATAGATGTCTTTATGTGATGGAGGGGGGCGGAGGGCAGAGCCTCATATTTACATTTCATCCCCGGAGAGTTGAGTAGATAAAGGCTCTGAAGGCCAGTGTGGAGCTGAATTTCAGATAGAGACAGATTTTCTGGGTCAGGCTGGTTGATCATTTTTTCTGCCAGTCTTCAGAGTTTTTGTTGTAGTCTCATCATGACGAAACCCTGTAGAAAAGATTGTTATGCGCCTACAACTTTCTCCAAGATTATACCATTTCACCTCTGAGCCTAGGAATAAAGTACCATTGAATTGAATTGAATGTAGTTTTTCTATAGTTTGTTTCCTTTCCGGTCCTGTAGGTGGAAACTGAATGGCACCCTGCTGGAGCTGGGGTCCAGCCGCTACACTTTAGTGGCTGGCAGCCTGGTGATCAGCAACCCGAACAGTATTCAGGACACAGGGTCGTACCAGTGTCTGGCTAAGAACCCGTGTGGGACCATCATCAGCCGGGCTGCTAATGTCAAGTTTGGCTGTGAGTGTAGGAAGACCTCCCTGGAGGATGATGATTAAACACTGAGCTTTCCTTCTGTTACTGAAGCAGAAATCTCACATCCCATCCTAATCTCCGTGTTTTCCTCCTTCCTCAGACCTTCATGATTTCCCCCCTAACAGCAGGACTTCACAGACTGTATATGAGGGTGCAGGGACCGTCCATGCCTGTCAGCCCCCCCCACATTACCCAGGTACCACCACCCGCCTTCCTGCTTCAACACAAGCTTAACAAAACAGACACCTCTTCCATCTTTGAAGGCAGGAAGAGATGAGATCCGTTATCCTTTGGCCGAGTGTTGAGCAACTTCAATATATCTATTGCCCACCGGGGTAATATAATTCTGCACATATATGGAATATATTCACAACAACCTCGGCGGCGGATGAAGCATTAATCGCGCGACACAACTAATCGATGATGAAATTCATTGCCAACGCTTTTAAAAGTCGATTTTTATCGATTTTATCGATTTGTTGTTGCAGCCCTATTTAAGAGTTTAATTATTTAGCTCAAAGTCAAGCATATTTGGGATAAAAACTTGACTAAAAACTAGTTAAACACAACTAAACGAAGCTGCTATGTATAAAGAAGAAGTTAAAAATATAATCAATGAGATGATGCAATAATATCACAGTTGAACGTGGATTTTATATTTGAGAACCAAAGAACCAAAGTTTAAAATGAAGATTTTGGGATTTGTTCAAATTAGCTTTTAAACAATTTAGAACAATTGGAATGTTTTCAAACCAATTCAATCCATGCAAATCCAAGAGGTGAATAAAACATTATCCAGCCAAACAATGTGTTATTATATCATTTGCTAAATCAAGAACCAATAACCTTTAGATAAATTAAAAGTCCAATCAGCAAGGAATAATCAATGAATCATTATTTATACCTAAAACTAATATGTTTGCGGTGATTTAATGAATTTAGCGTTAATCAGTAAAAAATAAAAAACAATAACTTTCGTTGTGATCAGTCTGGGAGCGGCCATCTTTGCCCAAATATAGTAACAACTCCCTCCTGCCATCAATGGGAACTACTAGACACATCTGCAATCGACAACAATTATTGAAGATTTCCAGAGGACTTCACCATTGAAATTCACCAGAGCTATAGTGAAACTGACAATGCCCACGTGCATGGCAGCTGGATGCTGGAATACATCGGGTAAAAGTGAAAAAAAGAGTTATTCCACCTTTCTGATTCCTGATCCTCCACGGACGGGTTGGTCGTTGGATCGCCAACTTGAAGAGGGAGGATTTTCCAGACTAAAAACCCGTAATATGTGGCCAACATTTGGAAGAAGAATGTTTTCAAGATGACTTGGATAATAGCGCGTTGTGACAAACACCAGATACAGCACTGGGACTTGATCAACAGCCGATACCGCACCGTGACGTCACTAACCAGTAGGTGGCAGTAGTGTTCTTTGACAAACATGGATGCCTCCAGTAAAGCACATTCACATGAAAATTACTCTGAATTAAAAACTGATCATTTATTGAACAGGATGGAATCATTTCAGATTTAACCCTTTTAGGCCTGTCACTCAAAAGTCCGCCTGGCATTTTTTTTACTTGTTTAAAGTAAAAAGTAGGAAGAAAAAGTCCTGTGGCCAAGTGCTTCAGCACATTTTTCCAGAATCATTTAGAGCTTTCAATAAATGCATTATTTTACATTATTCTTGATACTAAACCACTATTAAAACTGTTTGATATCAAGAAAAAACAAAAATCGAAATTAGATTTTGGAGATTTTATGCAAATAAAACACTGCATTTGAACATGAAGTACAGATTTTGCATCACAAATTGACAATTTCAACACTATAGAACATATTTACAATATTTTTTTCATTCTCAATTATTTTTACAAATAAGAAACAGACTAACAATTAAAACTATTTACAGGCGATTTTCCCCTCTCTGCATTTCTCCTTATTTTCCTGGGCCTTGGTGGTATTCCCAGAAGCAATTTCTGTCCACCTGAAGACACAAGCCCACATTACAGAGCTCACAACTCCAGGCTGTGCTTCTCTGACAAAGCTTGCAGCGCCGTCTCCCCATGCTTGCTCTCTCAGACTTTGCCTGCTTGTTGCTGCTGCATGGGACTGGTAGATGTTTTTTCCCAGCTTCTTTTTGTGGCTCGTCATAAAGAGGAACACCTAGGAGGTGTGCTGCCAGCTCCTCCTGGAAACTTTGTCGGGTCTTCTGCTTGCTTCTCATTGCACAACACTGATCCTTGTGAATAACAAAGGAGTTTGTCACAGCGATGTCGACCAAATGTTGGAACACAGTGGTGACCCACCTTTTTGTTTTGCGGTGGATAGAATGTGTCCCAATCATTTGGTCCGATGTGTCCACCCCTCCCATGTATTTATTGTATTCTGTCACAGCAGTGGGCCTGGGGACAGCGACCTGTACTTTCCCATCAGGTGACTTCTGCCAGCGCTGAACAGAGTCTCCAGTGTAAACAGGGTGGATGGTGGAACACATCGAGACCTCCCTGGTGTCCATCCATTGGACTTTTTGGTGAGGGCATTTTCAGTGGTGGTGGGGACACCAACTCTTCCCTGCCTGTATGTCCCGCAAGCGCCAAATCCCTGCTGCCTCAGATGTTTGAACAGGACAGGACTGGTGTAAAAGTTGTCCGTGTAGACAATGTATCCAGAGCCCAGGTACTCTTTTTTCACTAAGGTGGTCACAACATCGAACGACAGCCCCTCTCCGATGACACGTTAGATTTTCCAGTGTACAGCTGGAAATCCACCGTGTAGCCATTTTTATCAGCCAATACAAAAAATTTCAGGCCCCACTTTGTTGGCTTGGCTTTCATATACTGTTTGATGCTGAGCCTGGCTTTGGTCGAAACCATCCTCTCATCTACTGCAAGGTGCTGCCTTGGGTGGTATAAGGCACAGCACCTTGTCCCAATCATCTCCATCAGTGGCCTGACCCGGTGGAGAGGGTCATATGTTTCTGTGCCCTTTAGTTTATCATTTTGCTGATCCTCCTCTGGGTCACTCATTCTAACATTGGCCAAAATGGCCAAGAACCGGTCTCTGGACATGATGGTAGCTGGTGTTTGAAGACTGAAAATACTTCCAGTCCACCAAAAATCTCTGATTTTTGGCAGGCGGCTGATTGACATGTAGAGCAGCATGCCTATAAATTTCTTCAGTTCCCCTGGACTTATTTCAGTCCAGGAGAACTTCCTCCCTTTCTCCAGGTTCCTGGCTGCCCCCTTGTTTGTAAAATCACAAACTAATGTGAGGACTTCATTGTCAAAAAAGTACTCAAAAATTTCACCTGGTTGTGGATTTCCTACATTTAGAGGGGGTTGAACACCAGGGATTCTTTTGGGGAAGAACCTTAGGGGTTGAAAGCCTTTCTCATCAGGCTCTTCATGGGTCTTCCACCTTGGATGATGTGGGGAACGGCTGCGGTGCCTCATACTCCCAGCATGGACCCCAGCAGACCCTCCAGAAGGACCTCCAGCAGACCCTCCAGAAGGAATTCTGTCTCTTCTACTTCGCCCCCTTGGAGCCAGCTGCTCTTCATCAGAAAATGTTCTAAAAACAGTAAATATACAAGTTTGTCACAGCAATGACAGCTTTTATTTATAGTAGTAAATAAATAAAGTTGGTCTCAAATCCACACTAAGCAATAAAAAAAGTCATAGTAAGCTACACATGAATACATGAAGAGTGTGGTGCTGTACTTAGGAGTGTCATATATAGTGAGCAAAAGTGCACTTTTACACAAAGTAAATATTGATGAATATTATAATAACTTATACTCTTTTTTTTATTTATTTATTTTTTTATACTCTCTAAACTATTCCAAAAACAAAATAAAATTGAAAATAAATCTATAAATACATCCAATTATGTGTACCAAGTAAAAGCTATTATCCATGAAGTAACAAGCCCCATTCATTCAGAAATAAAATTCAAAATGTTATTCAATGATCAAACATTACCTTTCTTCAGAAGAAAAAACTGGATCTCCTTTTTCAAACACAAAACCATCCAGGAACCTCCTCGGTTTCTTTTTATCTCTTGAAGGACGTTTGTTAGTCATATTATCATGCGCTTCACTCTGACTCTCCGCTCTGTCGCTCATCTTTTCCTCCTCACTCTGCACTCTTCGTCCGTGCAGCAGAGGGAGACACAGACTAGCATTCGCGGGCTTCCTGGAGCGGCGGGAAGTCAATTACCGTAATAACACTATGCATGTCTGAAAGTGCAATTTATTTTCTTTCAAAGACAGTTTGAATTTTTCTGATAGCGCAAACCGTCGCAGAGTTACGGTAAGTTGAAGTTGGCTTGTGAAATGTGTCGCGGGCGACACGTTCGGTTTCAAAGGGTTAAAGAACTTTCAGAAGTTTGAGTTCTGATTATGAGCGGACATCTTTAAATCATTCTTTGAGTGAGCTAGCAGCTAGCAGACATGAGGATTCCATTAATTGACTTATGGTCATAATTTGGTAATCAAAATGTAATGAGCACATAAGAAAACACATGAATGTTAACATCATATCAGTGTTTAAACCCTTAATGAAATAAACCTGTTTCTACCTTTATAAACAACAGCTCAGTTATGTTAGCATATCGTACTATGCCGTCCATCCTGTTAGCTTTGTCTTTACTCAACATTAAAGACATGAAATGATCAGAAATCCACAAAGAAACAAATTATTTGGCTATAAACTCTCCCTGACTTGTGCCTGACCTGTACCTCTACACATATTCGTTTTTGGAAAACTTAGTCGGCCATACACTGTTCGATTCTTTGTCCTTTTCTGGCTGATTTTTCAGTCATGACAGAGCGTAGTAGCCACGTTAGCTCAGCCATGTCTTTGTCCAAATACGTCGTCTCCTTTTCTTTTTAGGGCTTTCAGCACAAAGTTGCCCAAATATCCAAGGCAGCGCGTTTCACTCTAGTGAGCTTCATGTTCCTCTTCTACTGGTTGGCTTCCAGATAGACGAGTCCGAGTAGCGCCATCTCACTGCGGAGCTAAGTCTCACCTGGTTTTTAGACGTACAGCGTGAGCAGGTAGATCGCATCAGAGCATGTTGAGCTGTGAACTTTTAAACCCTGTGGTTTCATCGTAAAGTTTGAGCTGTAGCTGCGTGAAACAATTGAAAAAATCCCACAGTGTAAGCCTGGCTTAAGTTTTCTCCCATCTTTAGCAGCTTAGCATGGCAGGATCACAGCCAGACACACATCAGGAGGGCTCTCCACCTTAACTTTGTAAAGCAAAGTCAGCTGCAGAGCAAAGCTTAAAAACTCTCGGTAGACTTGTGTTTTACTAATAGCCATTTTGCAATATTAATGTTTTAACACAACAATAAAGAACTGAGTTGTGTTTATATCTAACTAAGATATCCCAACATGTTTTTTTTTTTTTAATGCGCAGTTAATTGTAAAAATACGTTTAGATTTGTGCAGTTAAGCCGGACGGCATTTTTCCTTTCGCTGAATGAGTTCTGGGAAACCACGGTCTGAAGGAATCATTTTAAGGGTTGGAGGGCACTCACCCCTAGCTCTTATAACTATTGGGCCACACTAGCCTTACACGTAAACACACAAAACCGAGTGCTAGGGTCCAAAATGAGTGCAAGTGAGAGAAATGGGGCTTGTCCTTTATCTTCCTAACCCAATGGATATGGTTAATATAAAGCATGGCCATTGGTTCCAAAATTATTATCATGGTTCATGGCACAGAACTGAGAACACCAGGTATCCTGGAGATAATGATTAAATAAAAATAGATCTTCTCAGGTTGGTTTTATCTGACATAAATCAGATAAATCGATGCAATATTATAGATTACAGCTTCTGTTTGGTAAAAGTCTAAAAGTTCTGAGGAGGATTACCTGAGAAGCTTTTTTTTTTTAACTTTCAGCTGCCTTTAACCTACATCCTAACTCCTGATTGCAATACATCTCAGCTTTTGAATGTGCTTAACTGTTATGTTCTGCTCCTCATCTTCTGCAGCTCTGTCCTATCGCTGGTACTTCAACGAGTTCCCCAACTTCATTAGGAAGGACGATGGCCGCTGGTTTGTGTCACAGGTCACAGGGAACCTGTACTTGGCCAAAGCAGAGTTGAATGATACTGGGAACTACTTCTGCTTCACTACCATCAATCTGGACATCAGCACCAAAAGCACCTTCAGCAAAGGCAGCCTGCTCACCGTAATGCCAGACGGTATGATCAATGAGGTTCAAATCTAACTAAGGCTATTTACCTGTGTTAATAATTTTCTGACAGCGTTTGCAGTGAGACATACAGTAGAAACCTTCCTCTGGTTTGTACACCATTTGGGCAAAGACAGGAACATCAAACAGCCCCATTCTTCAGATAGAGAAATGTAAATAGAATAGACATCCATTACCTGTTCTAGGTTGTGTCCCTCTCTTCTTGTCCCTTTTCTTCTTGTTTTCCTCTCTATGTTTTGTACTCAGCTGACTTTTCATGCTGTCTCTAAAGGAATGAAAGATTTTTTCCAAGCACTAAGCTCACTTAGCTGATTGCTCCTTCCTGTGTTTCCAAAAAGGCCAAAGTAAATAACCCAGTCCTTCTTTTCACTGTAGACAAGCCATGATCTGCTTATCTGTTCTCCATTTTTCATTTGGATGAAATAATAGCTGCATGAATCATGACAGCAGACAAGATAGAGGAGAGCAGGAGGCGGGGTTACCAATCTACTCGCTCTGGAGAGCAGAGTTCGCTGCTTTTAGATGTTGTCTCCAAAGTCTCCAGTAGCAGAAAAAAGTCTCTAGATTTGGCGCTAGGAGCTTTTTAGAAATCAAAGTGCTAGAGGGGTCTGAAAAGTGGCTAAATATAGCGACTAAAGCGCTAAGTTGGCAACACTGCTCTTTGCATGGTTTGTTTTCAAATGGTTTGCTGCTGTCTGTTTGGACCTTTCTGAACATGTGCAGCAAATGGACTGATCCAATATGGAGGACATTTGTAAACAGAGTTTTCTGGGGCCCCCAGGAACTTGGGGCCCTAGGCAACTGCCTAGTATTGCCTAGTGGTAAATCTCCCCCTGTATGTGGGAGATGTTAGGAGGTCTCAGTAGTTTAGCCAAACAGATTCTGTTCAACATCTTGACCTGCAACAGATTTAGGTGTTAAAGCAAAATTACATAAAAGTAAAATCTCTACGCAAAATAATTAATAAAGTAGAGCAGATGAATAGAAAGGCTCCTCCGAGATCCCTATAAATACTTTGGTACGTGGAACGCCTGTGCCAAAGTCCTAACTTTTTCAGTTTTTGGTTTATTTCAGCCAATCCCAGGAGGTCAGCACCAAGCATCAAACTGCGCTTCCCAGCAGAGACGTATGCTCTCGCCGGACACACTGCCCAGTTGGAATGTTTCGCTTACGGAAAGTAAGTTTCCCACCAGAAATCCCTACATTTGTCCATGTTTGATGCAGTTTGTTCTGTGTAACGCCTGCATTCAGTTCTCTTATTGACAGAAAGCAGTGGAATCATCACAGGATCTAAACCAGTTTAGTAAACTAAATTATGCATCTTTGTCAGAAATTGCCTATTACATTAGTAGCCATTCAAAAATTCTCCACTTGGCAAAACTTCCACTACAATTCCTTTTTAAACATCTAAAATATTCTTTCTTTCATGATTTTTGGACATTAAGATGTAAAGAGAAGCTCCATCTCCTGGTCAGACCCTGTAATTCAGTGAAAGGGTGGAGTTAGAGTAAGACAAATATGCAAGATGGGGGCCCTCGAGTGGCTGGACGATGAAGGGGATTTTGCTGGGAGTTGCAGGGAAGTGGGCTGCCATTTTCATTGGCTGCTACTGTACCTTAAATCATAACTTGTAGCCTTTAAAAGTTGCACACTTGGTTTTTAGAATTAGTTTATATCCTGATGTATATTATGAAATGTTTATTGTGAAAGGCGCGAAAATATTTCAGATCAAAACGGTTTTGACCTTTTGTTCAAAGGTCAAAGCTATAAGAGGAACGTCTGCCAGCCTCTAAGTGGCTCTCATTCTGTTCTGTTTGCTAGCTGGTTGCAAAGTGGCTTTTTGAAGCCATTTGCTTCCCTAAACCGTCTACAGTTTGCCTGTTGTAACATAGAGCCTTTTGTAGCCTTTTGTAACATAGAGAAGAAGCCTTTTCTCAGCTCTACCACAGAGCTGCTAGGATCTGGCAACGCCTGAGTGCACCAGGCGGCTACGCTCTACCCCTTCTATTCATTCTAGCTAATCTGAATCGTTCAATTCCATTTGGAGAGCGAGATCATCTTTGGTAGCAGCACTAGACATCTTCCAGGCATGTGAGGAAAACTAGCAGCAGTTCAGCGGACATGATGAAGGAATGGTAGCCGTTCATTCATCCTTCAAGTCGTTGCCCATAGGAAGATGTTACCTGGATATAACCTAACGGAATATCTTCAGAACGGCTCCAAATTACACTAGGGTGAGTAGAACATGATGCAATAACGTAAAATCAAGGGCCCAATGGAAAAAAAAAACGGCGTTCCCCTTTAAGGACATTTTTACTATCTGACATGCTATGACACTTAATAATTTCTGAGAATTTGGAAGCAGTTGCTCTTTATTTCTCAAAGATATGGGAGGAGAGGAGAGAATGAAGATTTCAGCTGCCTGAAATAATCCGTTCCTCCTCCATAATATGGGAAGAAATGAATTAATCTGAACGTCTTTAACTGTGTTTATTCCTCTCTTCATCAACAACAAACTCTGTGGATTTGGTGACATTTGATCATTATTTGCCAAAGTTATGAGAGGGGAACCATCTATTTTAGCCACCTGATATAATCAGTTCCCCCTTTGATGATCTTTATGAAATATCTTTTCTGTTTAAATGTTTATCTAACAATTTACAAATATTCCAACAAAAGTTCAAACCAAAACAGCTGGACTTTGTTTTCCAAGTTTGAAGATGTTTCGCTTTCTATCCAGAAAGATTTCTAAATTCAAAATGTCTGGAGCAATGCTACTGCAGACATTTGGAACTGAGAATTAAAATTACATAAAATAAAGATCATCAAACCAACAGACATATTTATTTTAACTATTTTGGATTTCAAAATATTAAATAATAAATGTTTCCAACATAATATTGAAAAATAATAACAGTTTCAAAATTCACAGGATTTGTTCATTTTTTTTCCCCATGATATGGGAGGAACGTATTATATCATTTATATATATAAAAATTTATATATATATATATATATATATATATATATATATATAAAAATTATATATATATATATATATATATATATATATATATATATATATATATATATATATATATATATATATATATATATATATATATAAATTTTTTGTATCATTTTGTATAATACATGATAGTTTATCAGTATATTGATGTTATCAACTCTTAGGACAATAATAATAATAGAAATAATACATTTATTTTGAGAATCAATGACACTAAAAATATTTTGATTATTTAAAGTGAAATTTAACAATATGAATAAAAATCCTCCCTATAATCTCTGCCGACCAGCAGGGACGGTGAATCAGGACAACCAGAACACGGTTCCCACTGAGATTTAAGTTTTTTTTTATTGAATAACAACGTCCCAGAGTTTTAAATAAAGAAGAACAAGTCTCAAAAATTATCTGTAAGAATAAAAGACATAAAATCACAATAAGTACAGATCCTCAAAAAAAGTACTGTAACAAGGTTAGTTACTGTTCCTCTGCCACACATTCAGTCCGTTGGGATTATTACTGTTTATTCATTTCTCTGCTGTTTTCCAGTCCTGTCCCTAAGCTTCGATGGAGGAAGGTTGACGGTTTAATGCCGTCTAAAGCAGGCTCCTCCTCAGAGAGCCCCACCCTCACCCTACCTGAGCTCTCCTTTGATGATGAGGGCATCTATGAGTGTGAAGCCTACAATTCTGAGGGAAAAGACACGTACCAAGGACGCATCGTAGTGCAAGGTGAGAAACAGAGCATTTGCTCATGCCTGTCATCGGTCTGGGATGTTTTTTTTGACTAGCCCCTCTGGTCCTGCAGCTCAGCCGGAGTGGCTGCAGGTCATGAGCGACTCAGAGGTGGAGATCAGCTCCGAACTTCACTGGACCTGCTTGGCTGCTGGAAAACCTCGACCCACTGTTCGCTGGATACGCAACGGATTGTTTCTTTCCTCGCAGGTAAAGACAGGCCAACATGGCCGCCTGCCTAGGTTCGATTAGCAACTATGCTTCACTTTATGCTTAAAGGTGTGATCTGTACAGAGGATTTTACTCCTCTTTACTCCTCCCATTAATTTGTAGTAGTAGTAGTAGCCATTAAAAATGTCCCCAATTTCCGTGGCTGGTCTTTGGCTGGTCATTGGGTGGTCCTTGGCTGGTCCTTGGCTGGTCCTTTGGTAGTCCTTGGGTAGTCCTTGGGTGGTCCTTGGGTAGTCCTTGGGTAGTCCTTGGGTAGTCCTTGGGTGGTCATTGGTTGGTCCTTGGGTGGTCCTTGGCTGGTCCTTGGGTGGTCATTGGCTGGTCATTGGTTGGTCCTTGGGTGGTCCTTGGCTGGTCCTTGGGTGGTCATTGGCTGGTCATTGGCTGGTCCTTGGTTGGTCCTTGGGTGGTCCTTGGGTAGTCCTTGGGTAGTCCTTGGGTAGTCCTTGGGTGGTCATTGGTTGGTCCTTGGGTAGTCCTTGGGTGGTCCTTGGGTAGTCCTTGGGTGGTCATTGGTTGGTCCTTGGGTGGTCCTTGGCTGGTCCTTGGGTGGTCATTGGCTGGTCATTGGCTGGTCCTTGGGTGGTCATTGGTTGGTCCTTGGGTGGTCATTGGCTGGTCCTTGGCTGGTCATTGGTTGGTCCTTGGGTAGTCCTTGGGTGGTTGTTTGACTTGGAAGGTTCATTTTTATTTGGCTGCTACTGTAAATTATCTCTTACCTTATTTCCTTGTTTTTTTTCAGAGGTAGACGGTTCTAAAAATTACTTCAGTCTTTCTTCCACCCATATTTGTGTTAAAGTTTCTGCCGTTCTCTTCCGTACTTTTGCTTCTTGTTTCCCGTGATGAAATCTTTCCAACTGAACCACAGGATCGGCTGGTTGTGAACGGAGCTCATCTGAGGATCAGTAACCTGGCCCTTGAGGATTCAGGGATGTACCAGTGTGTGGCCGAGAACAAACATGGCACCATTTATTCTTCTGCAGAGCTGAGGGTCCAAGGTCAGAGAGCGACTCCTTCTCAGGGACGAGATGTCCTGTTGAAGTTTTAAAGACATCTTTTTAACCATTTCCTTCACGCACATTGTGATCTCCTGCATGCTGCTGTCGTCTGTATCCTCCCTTCAGTCCAAGCTCCTGACTTCCGGTTGAATCCGGTTAGGAAACTGATCCCAGCAGCCAGAGGTGGCCAGGTAGTGATGGAGTGTCGCCCTCGTGCAGCACCCAAGCCCATCCTGTTCTGGAGCCGCGGGACGGAGCTCCTTACCAACAGCAGCAGGTACGATATGGAGTCATTTCTTTGATCACATAAAATAAATCACACAATCAGAGTTTTCTATAAAAGTTTTTACGTTTACATTTTTTCAACATTGTATAATATTAACACACTAAGCTGACAGTGGTGAAAAATGCGAGGCTGGCATTATAACCTGATGTCAATATTTAGATATTTTGGATCCGTCGAAGTTTATGCAACCAAAACCTATATATATATATATATATATTTTTTTTTTTTTTTTTTTTGCAAAATTAATACTTTTACAACAGTAAAACAACAGATACAACAGAAAACAGTAAAAATAGCTAACAAAAGACATAAATTGCACTTATTGCCACATTACAGTTGATCAACTGCAGCTGCAGATTCATTGGGTAAGTGATCCATAACTATCGTAGGCAGCATATTTAAATAAAGAGGTTGTGTTTGGAGGAACAGACTGGTCTATTTTTGTGCATCATAAATTTAGCCTTAATATGCAACAGCACTGCCCACAGACGGCATGACATCTATCTGCAGCGCTGTTCCTGCAGCTCAGCTAAGTGGAGCACAAGAGGAAGGACCTTCTCTGATTTTGTAAAATAAAATAATCAGTTGGAGGCACAAGCACAGCAGAGTAGCTCCTCTTCTGACAGGCCTTGATGCTCAGCTCAGATATTTTTGTGAAATCTGATTCTTTTTGCGTTGTTTTTCACATTTCCAAATATAAACAACCTTTATATGATCTCCTGTGTGAACTGCATTCATAGAGCTTAAGTGTCCCGCATGCGCAGTAGAGGACGCCATGACATCACATGCCAGCGTGCTCTGTGTTTATAGAAGTAAACATGGATGGTAGCGCTGGAGAACATCTAGAGATCTTTTCCACCCTTAAAAAAAATCTTTTTAAGATGGTTAAAGATAAATACTGCTCTCCTTATCATCGTCCATCATGGTTGCTGTTTTTCTTGCTGCTTCTGCGTAGCAAGACGCAGAATAGTGACCTATGTTAGCTATTACATAATGGCGTACAGGTGGGATGAATGCGACCTGGCCGTTCACTCACAGGTCACATTTGAAAACTTCATATTTGTATTGGATTCAGGACCAAAGATCCAAGGTACCCGGGTCGCACTAGAAAGAGAATCAGATCTGTGTTGTTCAGACTGTCATGAATAGATCAGATCCAGGTCGCACATTAGCAAAAATGGTCACTTTAGGCTGCAGTGTAAACGTATCCTTAGACACAGACAAATGAAAATAGCGGCTGGATATTGAGCCTCTTTCAGCACCACAGCCGTACGGACAGCAGTGCGCAGATAGCAACAGAGAAGTAGCAAGACATTTATTTATTGCTTGGGCTGTTATCTGCATTAATCTATTCTCACAGTTGGGATCGGAGCTGGATCTATACTAATGATGACTTTCACCTTGATATTGTAGTTGGGATTTATATCTGGGGGCGAGAACGGATCAGTCTTCCTACCCGTGTAGGCGACTGTGAAATTACCACATAGAACGTGACGTGCTGACATGGATGAAGCTATAAGCACAGCTCTATCAGCCAAGCTAACCAATCACCTCGCTCAGTAGATCGCCACAAGCTGCCAGCCCATCAGCGTGGCTGACGTCTAAAGGCTTGTTCTCCAGGCAGCCACAGGTGAGCCATCTTACAAACTACTTGTGAGGCGAACATGAGGAGAATACATGACCAGCACACCGCGGAGAAAGCCACGACAGATGAGATGTTGATCGAGACGACACATTTTGTAGACACTACATTGTTCAAGTGGGAAATAAGATTTCAGCCTTAGTGTGTTGCCATGTAAATCAAATCCTCCCAGGGTCTTCTAACAATATTACTGAGGAATAGTTTCTTCAACCAATCAGATTTCGGATTCGCCTCACGGGGCCAGCTAGAGGGCCCGCACCTTCGTCTGCATTTTCTGTCCTCTGATTGGTGAGTTAGAGCAAAATGTTTACAGCCAAGTTAAGCTAACAACAATCTACATTTTAGATTCCCTAAAATCTGCATTTAGTGTTTCTGACCTCAATGGCTGATGCTAAATGGAGATACTAAGACTTCCTGCACAAAGACAGAAGGATGGATTTACTTTATAAATAATCAGCATGTCTACTAGTTTGAAATATTTTATTTTCATCCTTTATGCGCCGTTTTATCTGGTGATTGTCATAAATGGTTTAAAGGAATAGTACACCCAAAACATGATTAGCCTTCATTTTCTACTCACCCCCATGCTGAACAACACTCTGGAGTACTTTTTTGATATCTCAAATGCATCTGGAGATCTGGGAGGCTTCTTGCTGTCTGCTGACATTCAAATAATGGAGGTCTATGGCGCCCGAGGCAGAAAGGTCCATAAAAGTCCACAAAAAACGTGTCAATATTCCTCCATACTGCTCGTCCAATGTATTCCAAGTGTCCTGAGTGGGTAGCATCCAGAATTTACTCGAAACGAAGTCATTTAGAATGTTTTTAGAGCATAAACAGTAGTGTATAGGATTTCCTAAAAGCGCGTTCACGACGCTACGGAAGCTGGCAGACCAAACCAGATGAAAGTGCGCATTCAGCGTCTGCTCTGCCGATAATGCAAGCGTAGAAGAAGAAATGTGCTGTTTACCTGTGCAAAGAAAGAAACAACGAAAGAAAAATGTTTGAGGACTTCAGTGTTGAGGAAGAGCATGAGTTCTTTGCCGAGCTGAATGCTCACTTTCATCTGGTTTGGTCTGCCGCAGTTTCCGTAGACTCGTGAACGCGCTTTCAGGAAATCCTATACACTACTGTTTATGCTCTAAAAACATTCTAAATGACTTCGTTTCGAGTAAATTCTGGACGCTACCCACTCAGGACACTTGGAATACATTGGACGAGCAGTATGGAGGAATATTGACACGTTTTTTGTGGACTTTTATGAACCTTTCTGCCTCGGGCGCCATAGACCTCCATTATTTGAATGTCAGCAGACAGCAAGAAGCCTCCCAGATCTCCAGATGCATTTGAGATATAAAAAAAGTACTCCAGAGTGTTGTTCAGCATGGGGGTGAGTAGAAAATGAAGGCTAATCATGTTTTGGGTGTACTATTCCTTTAAGCGATCTGACCCACATGCAGAGAATCACTCAGAGACCAAGGGAAAAGGTGTAACAGGTTTATTGAATGTTGATGAAACACAGAAGTAGGATCTGGAACTCAGTGGACTGGTGAACCGGAACCAGAAAGTCTGAAGGAGAGGTCACGGTGACCAGTTCAGAGACCGTAGGAAAATTGACTGAGGCTTGAATATAGCTGGAGAGAAACTCACGTTTGAGAGGCCTCTTGTTAATCCTTGAATCTAGTTTGTGGGGAATTAATCCAGACGAGAGGGAACTCGGAGAGCGGACAGGTAGACATACGTTGGACCCAGAGGAGTAAAGGATCGGACTGTCACTTGGTTTTCCGATGAGGACTTGAACAGATCATGTGGAGGTTTATCTCTGCTCAGTGTGTACTCAGTAATGCTTCCAGGGGGAGAAGGTCCAGGTTTTCCAGTTACACAGGAAAGGCTTCCTGCCGAAGAGCAAAGACAAAGACAAGATTAGACTCAGAGAAACAAAGCTTCGGTTAGACTCTGCTAATCTCAGCTTAGCTAGAGTACCCAAAACCGCCAAACACTCTGGCGTTGAGGTAGTGGCAGCCTGCAGCTCAAATACTCCTCGGTGATGATCCAACGAGCCGCAGGTGTGCAGGGAGGCCCAACAAGGAACAGGGCACCACCTGGTGGTGGAGAGAGAAAAACACAAAAACAACCCACACAAACTGGATTCCTAACAATGATATAAACATAGTGGAGCACTGGTTATAGAGTAGATAATTGCTGTTGTCTTAACGGGGCTTCTTGCTAACTGATCTCTGTATATATCCTCACACTGATCTTCCTCCCAGTTATACCTGTGCTTGTTACATTTCACATTTGAATACTATTGTTTTTTTAAATCAAAAGGCAAAAGTGGTGATATGAACCTCCTGACACCCATCATTGGAAATGATTGTCCATATGTATATGATATATATATATGGATCTCAAAGGATAAGTAACAGATATTAAGTTGAGGGGTACCCACTGAAGGCCTAGGTACCAGATACAACCTGTAGAAATGCTTACATGATAAGAACAAAATACACACATGATTAACAAAGCCTTGGCATCGGTTGTTAATCCCAGCACTGTGGATGGTCTCACGGAACTGAGCCAAACCAAAGCACAATGTAACCGGCTAACTCACGGGTGCATCATGGGTAATGTAGTGCTAAATGAGGGCACAGACTTTTAACAATAGAAGCAGAAACTTCACTGCCAGAATGTTTTAGGTCAGGGTTACATATCCTCCCAGTATTTTACATGTTTTGGTAAGCAGAATCTCTTCTGCAGTATTTTGAAGGCACACAGGCTAAATTAAATGCGCCTACTACTTTGTTGGTGTCACAGGGGCATTTCTGGCTGCGATCTGTCTGTAGATCAGCTTTGCCGATGGTATCAGGTTTAAACCTTTTTTTGTTTTAAAGCAAACACTTTAATAGATCAGGGCCCTAAAGTCAATAAGAGAAACTGATGCACAAAATTAAAATATTGATTTGGTTTGTGACTTTTCTAGTTTTAAGGATCATAAATTTGTTGATGTGCTTTTATGATCCAGCTGTTGTTTTTCTCACCTTATTCCTCTCAGAATCAAAGTGACTCCAGATGGTACTTTGTGGGTCTATAACATCAGCCGGGCAGATGAAGGGAAATATACCTGCTTTGCTGAAAATTACCTGGGCAAGGCCAACAGTACGGGACATCTATCTGTTAGAGGTAAACCCACCTGTTTACAACTTGTCAAAGCTGAAGCTGAGCTTTCTGTAACACGCTGTGCTGTTATTGTCTCAACATGTTGGGTCAAACCACTTATCTCTATTTATTCAGTGGATTGCTGATTGGCTGAAAAAAGTGAAGACACCGCTCGCCATATTGGTACTCCCCAAAAATGCCTCCCTGTGTAGCATCTGGCTGCTAAACGCAGGAGTTTTCTGGCTGTTGGAAGACGTTCCACAGGTCATTTTCCAGTTAGTGGATGAACTAAGCAATAAATCCATCTAAAGCCGATGGATCCTATAGTATAGTCTGTAGACTAACATTAGTCTGGCTATCTGGGACTGACTGGAAGACATTGACAGAGTTAGCTATTGATATTGGGTCTAACATTAGAAAATAGAAAGTAGAGAAAATAGAAAGTAATTCACTGTGAAATGTCAGTGTTATGTATGTATGATAACATCATCGTTGTTCGATGCTGTAGCGCACGGATCATTTACATTGTGACCGGTCCAACTAGGGAGTACCAATATGGCAGCCGGTGGCTTACTTCAACACTGTACTACCAACGGGCAATCAGCAATCCAGTGAATAAATAGAGATTTTTTATAACTTCAATCAATATTCATTTATACAAATAAAAAAGGTATTTAATTCTAAAGTATAATTTTTTTAATAACATGTAATTATTTAATTAATAATTTCAAATGTATCTTTCATAATTTAATTGGTATATTTAATTATCTAATTGTGCATACAGTATATTAACAATTTGAATCCGCGTATAAAAAAATTACAGAATAAAAGTTACTTTTATTGATTTCATGTTACATTTTTCAAACAAACATCAGTCCAACAGTCTCCAGTCAAAGGGATTCCTGTTTTAAAGTGAACTCGGCTGCGCTGTTGGATTAAAGATGAACGGCCTCCTTTCCTCTTCCACGCCTGATTCTTTACATCCCAGTATTCAATCTAATCATTCAGGAATGAGAAGAAAATGCAGACAATCTCCCCTCATCCTTCCTGTTTCTCTGACCTCTGTTATTTACAGATGTGTTTCTCTTGCAGATGCCACCAAAATCACTCTGGCTCCTTCCAATGCCGATGTCAACCAGGGGGAGAACGTCACGCTGCAGTGTCATGCCTCCCACGACCCCACCATGGACTTGACTTTCACCTGGGCTCTTAATGGGATGCCGCTGGACCTGGAGAAATCAGCTGGGCTGTACCAGCGGGTGGAGGGGGTGAGTGCTCTCTGTAGAGCTTCATATGTCATCCCATGATGGAACTTACAAAAAGTCTGTTGGAGCCATGGTCCAAACCCCATTGGGTAGACATTGGGTGTCAAAAGGATTATTCTACATCAAAGCATGTGGGCGTGGCCAACCGTCAAATTTGGTCTTTTTGATATAAAACAAAGGGTAAGATTCAGGCCATCCTCTACTGAGAATTATGAAATTTGGTACTAATGTGCAACCCATCCAAACCTACCAAAAAGCCTCTTGGAGCCATGGTCCAAACCCCACAGGAAGTCGGCCATTTTGAATCGAGCCAATCACTTTACTTATTTAGCTTTATGACATCTGAGCGAACTCCTCCCAAAGCGTTTGAGTTGCAAACTTCAATTTCACTCCACATTAATCTTAGACATTGGGTATCAAAAGGATTATTCTACATCAAAGCATGTGGGCGTGGCCAAGCGTCAAATTTTGTCTTTTTGATATAAAGCAAAAGGTAAGATCCATTATGAAATTTGGTACTAAAGTGCAACCCATCCAAACCTACAAAAAAGCCTCTTGGAGCCATGGTCCAAACCGCACAGGAAGTCGGCCATTTTGAATCGAGGCAATCACTTTACTTATTTAGCTTTATGACATCTGAGCGAACTCTTCCCAAAGCGTTTGAGTTGCAAACTTCTAATTTCACTCTACATTAATCTTAGACATTGGGTATCAAAAGGATTATTCTACATCAAAGCATGTGGGCGTGGCCAAGCGTCAAATTTTGTCTTTTTGATATAAAGCAAAAGGTAAGATCCATTATGAAATTTGGTACTAAAGTGCAACCCATCCAAACCTACAAAAAAGCCTCTTGGAGCCATGGTCCAAACCGCACAGGAAGTCGGCCATTTTGAATCGAGCCAATCACTTTACTTATTTAGCTTTATGACATCTGAGCGAACTCCTCCCAAAGCGTTTGAGTTGCAAACTTCAATTTCACTCCACATTAATCTTAGACATTGGGTATCAAAAGGATTATTCTACATCAAAGCATGTGGGCGTGGCCAAGCGTCAAATTTTGTCTTTTTGATATAAAGCAAAAGGTAAGATCCATTATGAAATTTGGTACTAAAGTGCAACCCATCCAAACCTACAAAAAAGCCTCTTGGAGCCATGGTCCAAACCGCACAGGAAGTCGGCCATTTTGAATCGAGGCAATCACTTTACTTATTTAGCTTTATGACATCTGAGCGAACTCTTCCCAAAGCGTTTGAGTTGCAAACTTCTAATTTCACTCCACATTAATCTTAGACATTGGGTATCAAAAGGATTATTCTACATCCAAGCATGTGGGCGTGGCCAAGCGTCAAATTTGGTCTTTTTGATATAAAACAAAGGGTAAGATTCAGGCCATCCTCTACTGAGAATTATGAAATTTGGTACTAATGTGCAACCCATCCAAACCTACAAAAAAGCCTCCTGGAGCTATGGTCCAAACCCCACAGGAAGTCGGCCATTTTGAATCGAGCCAATCACTTTACTTATTTAGCTTTATGACATCTGAGCGAACTCCTCCCAAAGCGTTTGAGTTGCAAACTTCAATTTCACTCCACATTAATCTTAGACATTGGGTATCAAAAGGATTATTCTACATCAAAGCATGTGGGCGTGGCCAAGCGTCAAATTTTGTCTTTTTGATATAAAGCAAAAGGTAAGATCCATTATGAAATTTGGTACTAAAGTGCAACCCATCCAAACCTACAAAAAAGCCTCTTGGAGCCATGGTCCAAACCGCACAGGAAGTCGGCCATTTTGAATCGAGGCAATCACTTTACTTATTTAGCTTTATGACATCTGAGCGAACTCTTCCCAAAGCGTTTGAGTTGCAAACTTCTAATTTCACTCCACATTAATCTTAGACATTGGGTATCAAAAGGATTATTCTACATCCAAGCATGTGGGCGTGGCCAAGCGTCAAATTTGGTCTTTTTGATATAAAACAAAGGGTAAGATTCAGGCCATCCTCTACTGAGAATTATGAAATTTGGTACTAATGTGCAACCCATCCAAACCTACAAAAAAGCCTCCTGGAGCTATGGTCCAAACCCCACAGGAAGTCGGCCATTTTGAATCGAGCCAATCACTTTACTTATTTAGCTTTATGACATCTGAGCGAACTCCTCCCAAAGCGTTTGAGTTGCAAACTTCAATTTCACTCCACATTAATCTTAGACATTGGGTATCAAAAGGATTATTCTACATCAAAGCATGTGGGCGTGGCCAAGCGTCAAATTTTGTCTTTTTGATATAAAGCAAAAGGTAAGATCCATTATGAAATTTGGTACTAAAGTGCAACCCATCCAAACCTACAAAAAAGCCTCTTGGAGCCATGGTCCAAACCGCACAGGAAGTCGGCCATTTTGAATCGAGCCAATCACTTTACTTATTTAGCTTTATGACATCTGAGCGAACTCCTCCCAAAGCGTTTGAGTTGCAAACTTCTAATTTCACTCTACATTAATCTTAGACATTGGGTATCAAAAGGATTATTCTACATCAAAGCATGTGGGCGTGGCCAAGCGTCAAATTTTGTCTTTTTGATATAAAGCAAAAGGTAAGATCCATTATGAAATTTGGTACTAAAGTGCAACCCATCCAAACCTACATAAAAGCCTCCTGGAGCCATGGTCCAAACCGCACAGGAAGTAGGCCATTTTGAATCGAGGCAATCACTTTACTTATTTAGCTGTATGACATCTGAGCGAACTCCTCCCAAAGCGTTTGAGTTGCAAACTTCAATTTCACTCCACATTAATCTTAGACTTTGGGTATCAAAAGGATTATTCTACATCAAAGCATGTGGGCGTGGCCAAGGGTCAAATTTTGTCTTTTTGATATAAAGCAAAAGGTAAGATCCATTATGAAATTTGGTACTAAAGTGCAACCCATCCAAACCTACAAAAAAGCCTCTTGGAGCCATGGTCCAAACCGCACAGGAAGTCGGCCATTTTGAATCGAGCCAATCACTTTACTTATTTAGCTTTATGACATCTGAGCGAACTCTTCCCAAAGCGTTTGAGTTGCAAACTTCTAATTTCACTCCACATTAATCTTAGACATTGGGTATCAAAAGGATTATTCTACATCAAAGCATGTGGGTGTGGCCAAGCGTCAAATTTTGTCTTTTTGATATAAAGCAAAAGGTAAGATCCATTATGAAATTTGGTACTAAAGTGCAACCCATCCAAACCTACAAAAAAGCCTCTTGGAGCCATGGTCCAAACCGCACAGGAAGTCGGCCATTTTGAATCGAGGCAATCACTTTACTTATTTAGCTTTATGACATCTGAGCGAACTCTTCCCAAAGCGTTTGAGTTGCAAACTTCTAATTTCACTCCACATCAATCTTAGACATTGGGTATCAAAAGGATTATTCTATATCAAAGCATGTGGGCGTGGCCAAGCGTCAAATTTTGTCTTTTTGATATAAAACAAAGGGTAAGATTCAGGCCATCCTCTACTGAGAATTATGAAATTTGGTACTAATGTGCAACCCATCCAAACCTACAAAAAATCCTCCTGGAGCCATGGTCCAAACCGCACAGGAAGTCGGCCATTTTGAATCGAGCCAATCACTTTACTTATTTAGCTTTATGACATCTGAGCGAACTCTTCCCAAAGCGTTTGAGTTGCAAACTTCAATTTCACTCCACATTAATCTTAGACATTGGGTATCAAAAGGATTATTCTACATCAAAGCATGTGGGCGTGGCCAAGCGTCAAATTTTGTCTTTTTGATATAAAGCAAAAGGTAAGATCCATTATGAAATTTGGTACTAAAGTGCAACCCATCCAAACCTACAAAAAAGCCTCTTGGAGCCATGGTCCAAACCGCACAGGAAGTCGGCCATTTTGAATCGAGGCAATCACTTTACTTATTTAGCTTTATGACATCTGAGCGAACTCTTCCCAAAGCGTTTGAGTTGCAAACTTCTAATTTCACTCCACATCAATCTTAGACATTGGGTATCAAAAGGATTATTCTATATCAAGGGAGTGGGCATGGCCAAGCATCAAATTTTGTCTTTTTGATATAAAGCAAAAGGTAAGATCCATTATGAAATTTGGTACTAAAGTGCAACCCATCCAAACCTACAAAAAAGCCTCTTGGAGCCATGGTCCAAACCGCACAGGAAGTCGGCCATTTTGAATCGAGGCAATCACTTTACTTATTTAGCTTTATGACATCTGAGCGAACTCTTCCCAGAGCGTTTGAGTTGCAAACTTCTAATTTCACTCCACATTAATCTTAGACATTGGGTATCAAAAGGATTATTCTACATCAAAGCATGTGGGCGTGGCCAAGCATCAAATTTTGTCTTTTTGATATAAAACAAAGGGTAAGATTCAGGCCATCCTCTACTGAGAATTATGAAATTTGGTACTAATGTGCAACCCATCCAAACCTACAAAAAAGCCTCCTGGAGCCATGGTCCAAACCCCACAGGAAGTCGGCCATTTTGAATCGAGCCAATCACTTTACTTATTTAGCTTTATGACATCTGAGCGAACTCCTCCCAAAGCGTTTGAGTTGCAAACTTCAATTTCACTCCACATTAATCTTAGACATTGGGTATCAAAAGGATTATTCTACATCAAAGCATGTGGGCGTGGCCAAGCGTCAAATTTTGTCTTTTTGATATAAAGCAAAAGGTAAGATCCATTATGAAATTTGGTACTAAAGTGCAACCCATCCAAACCTACAAAAAAGCCTCTTGGAGCCATGGTCCAAACCGCACAGGAAGTCGGCCATTTTGAATCGAGGCAATCACTTTACTTATTTAGCTTTATGACATCTGAGCGAACTCTTCCCAAAGCGTTTGAGTTGCAAACTTCTAATTTCACTCTACATTAATCTTAGACATTGGGTATCAAAAGGATTATTCTACATCAAAGCATGTGGCCGTGGCCAAGCGTCAAATTTTGTCTTTTTGATATAAAGCAAAAGGTAAGATCCATTATGAAATTTGGTACTAAAGTGCAACCCATCCAAACCTACATAAAAGCCTCTTGGAGCCATGGTCCAAACCGCACAGGAAGTAGGCCATTTTGAATCGAGGCAATCACTTTACTTATTTAGCTTTATGACATCTGAGCGAACTCTTCCCAAAGCGTTTGAGTTGCAAACTTCTAATTTCACTCCACATTAATCTTAGACATTGGGTATCAAAAGGATTATTCTACATCAAAGCATGTGGGCGTGGCCAAGCGTCAAATTTTGTCTTTTTGATATAAAGCAAAAGGTAAGATCCATTATGAAATTTGGTACTAAAGTGCAACCCATCCAAACCTACAAAAAAGCCTCTTGGAGCCATGGTCCAAACCGCACAGGAAGTCGGCCATTTTGAATCGAGGCAATCACTTTACTTATTTAGCTGTATGACATCTGAGCGAACTCCTCCCAAAGCGTTTGAGTTGCAAACTTCTAATTTCACTCTACATTAATCTTAGACATTGGGTATCAAAAGGATTATTCTACATCAAAGCATGTGGGCATGGCCAAGCGTCAAATTTTGTCTGTTTGATATAAAGCAAAAGGTAAGATCCATTATGAAATTTGGTACTAAAGTGCAACCCATCCAAACCTACAAAAGGACCATGGCTCTTGGAGCCATGGTCCAAACCCCACAGGAAGTCGGCCATTTTGAATCGAGGCAATCATTTATTTATTTATTTAACAGGACAGAGCAAATAAATAAACAGTCTTATACTTCTCTACAGATTGTAAATGAGCCAGATTATGGCATAGTTGCTAATTTACATCTGTCGTCCTGAGGCAGAAAGACAAAACAACACAAGATCACATAATACAATATCAGTCAATACACATAGACACACATTCAGACAATGACAATACAACAATAACATTAGTGAGTGCATGACTGGGAGCTTTTAAGAAACTGTTTAAGGTGCTTTTTAAATGTGCAATAAGTGGGACATTCCCTGATGTTTGTTGGGAGGCTGTTCCAGAAGTGTCCTCTAACTTATTTATCTTTATGACATCTGAGCGAACTCCTCCCAAAGCGTTTGAGTTGCAAACTTCTAATTGACTGAGCCTAGACTTAAGGAATAATGGATCAAAAGTTATCAATGTGGGTGTGACCAAACTTCAAATTCTGAATTCTCGACATAAGACAAAAAAACAAAACAAAAAAAAAACAGCCCCAGGCCACCCTTTTAGTAAGGATTTTGAGATTTGGTGTACATGTATAACCAAACAGGACTGGAGCCATGGTCCAAACCCCACAGAAAGTCGGCAGCTTTAACTGATGCTTCGTAACGCCTCTAAAATGATGCACAAGCATGCCGTGCGTTCTGCAGCAGTTAGGCTGTCGTTGGACAGAAGTTCTGGACTCGTAATGAATACTCTATGTATACGCCCAAAATTGAAAAAATCCATAGAAAGTTCAACGTATGCCAGCGTTTTAGGAGATTCTGGGACGTTAGGCAGATGCTGTATAAATTTAGCAAGGTGTGACAAGAGTCATAACGCTGTTTTCATGTATGTGAGTAAAACAGAAGGGAAGATGGCTTTACAATGCAAAAACTCAAATCTAAATAAGTTTTTAAGTCAGCGGATATTTCCTTGAATTGAGGAGGGCAGTGAGACACTGTCAGGGAAACAAGACAATTTACATTTAGAATAAGAAAAAACTATTGCATTGTCTTAATTCAAGTGCATATTATGTAATTATCTTATCTGAAATAAATGTTCTTATTTTAAGAGTTAAAATACTCATTCCATTGGCAGATCATCTTTTTTTCCTGCTCAACTTAATGGTAAATATACTTAATTTAATAAATTTTTAGATCGTTTTTGCAGCATATGCAGCCCACACTGGAAAAACTATCTAGAAATAAGTACAAATGTCTTAAATTAAGTGTATTTACCCTTAATTTGAGTAGGTAAACGAGAGAGTTTGCCAATGGAATGAGTATTTTTCGTCTGCACTTAAATTCATACAATGTAATTTTGTTTTCTTATTTCAAATGTAAATTGTCGTGTTGGCAAAATGTCTCTCTTACCTCCTCAATCCAAGAACAAATGCACTTATTTTAACAGAAAATGACTTATCTAGATTTCAATTTTTTCCAGTGCAGAACCTTCATAGCTGAAATGAAATGTGGTTTTTATCCAATTGTTTGTATTTAGTATTGGTGATACTTACATCCATGTCAAACTTTAAAATGCTGCAGGTGATTTCAGGCTGTTTTACATCTTGCTCCCTCTCCAGAACAGAATCTAAGCGTCTCTTACCTTTTCTATTCAGAAAGAAAACATCGGCGACCTGCTGATCGTAAACGCTCAGCTGAGCCAGGCAGGAATATTTACCTGCACGGCTCAGACGGTGGTGGACAGCGCTTCTTCTTCAGCTAAACTGGTGGTCAGAGGTGAGTAACAAGCAGTCTGCTGACTGGACTCTGACATCTCCTTCATTTCTACAATAGTTAGAAAATAGCAGCAGAGAATCTCCACTGAAATTCCTGGGAATGTACACAGATGATTTGAAGATGATATATTTTTATCAATATTTAATTCTAAGTGGAACTGATGGGTCTGCCTCATTAGATGATACAGAACGTTACTGAAAAGCCAGGCAGGCAGAGGAGTCCAGAGACAACAGAAGGATCAGGCCCATCTGATGGATATTCAGATATCATCCATCCATCCATTTTCCGTCACACTTCATCCCTTTCGGGGTCGCTTGAGTGCTGGTGTCTATCTCCAGCTGTCTACGGGTGAGAGGCGGGGTCCACCCTGGACAGGTCTCCAGTCCATCGCAGGACAACACAGAGACAAACAGGACAAACAACCATTCACACACACACCTAAGGAGAGTTTAGAGAAGCCAGTTAACCTAACAGTCATGTTTTTGGACTGTGGGAGGAATCCGGAGTACCCGGAGAGAACACACGCATGCTCAGGGAGAACATGCTAACTTCGAAGACCTCAGGCCAGGAATTAAACCCGAAAGCTTCTTGCTGCAAGGCTAGCCACCACTGGAAAAAAATCGAAATCTAGATAAGTCAGTTTTTCTTAAAATAAGTGTATTTGTTCTTGGATTTAGTAGGTAAAAGAGAGATTTTGCCAATGGAACAAGACAATTTACACTTACAATAAGAAAACACAATTACATTGTCTTATTTCAGGTGCATTTTATCAAATTTTCTTATTTTAAGAGCAAAAATACTCATTCCATTGGCGAACTATCTCATTTACCTACTCAAATTAAGCTTAAATACACTTAATTTAAGACATTTCTACTTATTTTTAGAACCTTTTTCCAGTGTATACTGATTGATTCAGAGATCAAATTAATTTCTGAATATCAAATATTGATATTCAGATATACATTTTGATATTAATTGTGGTAATTGCTCCAATATCAGCCAAAAAAATTAAATAAACTGTATATATAATATATTAGTCTGTAAAATAAATTAAAAAAATACTGGTATATTGCTAAGTTGTATAAAAAATTTTCCAATCATTGATTTTTTTTTCTGTTTATCCATTAGAACAGGGATTCCCAACCAGGGGTACTAGTACCTCTAGAGGCCAGCCATGGCATTGCAAGTGGTTAGTCAAAATATTAAATATTTTATTTCCCGGATAAAGAAATGTCATAAAATAAGGCTGAGATGGGTTTTACTCTGGAAGGACCCAAATGCAAATCAAGCAAAAAGAGCAAAAGAAAATGTCTTAATCAATACTTACATCATGACTATAGTGGCTATGGTTGCTGTGCACCTGCACTGCTGCTCTGTGAGTGAGAGCGGGAAGAAATAGACCTAAAGGCAAAGGTCACAAGAGAAGAAACGCACCAAAGCAGCTGCAGTCAAGGATAAATGGCTGAAACATCCCACTGCTGTGGATTCAGGAGAAGCTCAGCTGGTTCATCAACACTTTCCAAAAAACTTCAACAACAATCTACTGGACTTCGTTTCCAAGTTTGAAGACGTTTCTCTTCCATCCAGCAAGAAATTTTTTAAATTCAAAATGTCAGAATTAGCGTTGAGTTATGAGACTAAATTCATAAAATTACAAGAATAAAGTAGTAATATTATAAGAATAAAGTCATAATATTACGTAAATAAAGTCCTAAAATTACGAGAATAAGGTTGTGATATATAAATGAATACAGAAGAGAATAAAGTTGAGAAATTCCAAGAAATAAGTTCTATTTTATGACAACTCTTCCAAGAAGCCCTTTCTTCCTTAAAATGAGGAATGTGGAGCATCATGTGAAGTTCTACTTTAGCATCGGTTTGACAGATCAGGAAATCTTTTAGCAGCAGCATCAAACTGGGCAGGAGGTCAAAGTGGACTCTGGCTGCTGATTGGTGGAGCTGGTCGGCCGTCATCTGCTGGGCGGAGCTCCAAGATTTCTTTCTGAAACAGGTTGTGGTTTGATGACTTCATTCTTGTAATGTTATAACTTTATTCGTTGTAACATTACGTTAAAGGGAATAGTTGGCCAGGCTGAAAAGGCAAGGTCTTCTGCTATTGCTGCTTTGTAGGTTTTTGATAGCTGAAATCTGAGTCTTTCAAAAACCTACACTCACTGGCCACTTTATTAGGTACCCCATGCTAGTAACGGGTTGGACCCCCTTTTGCCTTCAGAACTGCCTCAATTCTTGGTGGCATAGATTCAACAAGGTGCTGGAAGCATTCCTCAGGGAGTTTGGTCCATATTGACATGATGGCATCACACAGTTGCCGCAGATTTGTCGGCTGCACATCCATGATGCGAATCTCCCGTTCCACCGCATCCCAAAGATGCTCTATTGGATTGAGATCTGGTGACTGTGGAGGCCATTTGAGTACAGTGAACTCATTGTCATGTTCAAGAAACCAGTCTGAGATGATTCCAGCTTTATGACATGGCGCATTATCCTGCTGAAAGTAGCCATCAGAAGTTGGGTACATTGTGGTCATAAAGGGATGGACATGGTCAGCAACAATACTCAGGTAGGCTGTGGCGTTGCAACGATGCTCAATTGGTACCAAGGGGCCCAAAGAGTGCCAAGAAAATATTCCCCACACCATGACACCACCACCACCAGCCTGAACCGTTGATACAAGGCAGGATGGATCCATGCTTTCATGTTGTAGACGCCAAATTCTGACCCTACCATCCGAATGTCGCAGCAGAAATCGAGACTCATCAGACCAGGCAACATTTTTCCAATCTTCTATTGTCCAATTTCCATGAGCTTGTGCAAATTGTAGCCTCAGTTTCCTGTTCTTAGCTGAAAGGAGTGGCACCCGGTGTGGTCTTCTGCTGCTGTAGCCCATCTGCCTCAAAGTTCCACGTACTGTGCGTTCAGAGATGCTCTTCTCCCCACCTTGGTTGTAACGGGTGGTTATTTGAGTCACTGTTGCCCTTCTATCAGCTCCAACCAGTCTGGCCATTCTCCTCTGACCTCTGGCATCAACAAGGCATTTCCGCCCACAGAACTGCCGCTCACTGGATGTTTTTTCTTTTTCGGACCATTCTCTGTAAACCCTAGAGATGGTTGTGCGTGAAAATCCCAGTAGATCAGCAGTTTCTGAAATACTCAGACCAGCCCTTCTGGCACCAACAATCATGCCACGTTCAAAGTCACTCAAATCACCTTTCTTCCCCCTACTGATGCTCGCTTTGAACTGCAGGAGATTGTCTTGACCATGTCTACATGCCTAAATGCACTGAGTTGCCGCCATGTGATTGGCTGCCTAGAAATTAAGTGTTAACGAGCAGTTGGACAGGTGTACCTAATAAAGCGGCCGGTGAGTGTACAATGCAGTGATAGAGTTGATTCATTCCAGCTATCATCGCAACCCCTTTACAGGGGAACAGAAGACCTCGCCTATTCAGCCAGGCCAACAATTCCCTTTAACAACCCACTTTCAGAGACATAGACAGGTATGGGGCATTGCAGGCTAACAAAGAACCCAAACGACCCCCATTCCAAAGTGGGGGACTTGTTAGTCAGGTTCAATCTGCATGTTTTCTTGAAAAACCAGGCTTTGTTGGGCTGCTGGATAAAGCCTGGAACTCAACGTTATTTCTGACATTTTGAATTGAAAAATCTTCCTGGAAGGGAAGAGAAACGTCTTCAAACTTGCAAACAAAGTCCAGTGGATTGATTTTAACTTGTTTGCAATGACTCTGACCTGGATGACTGAGAATCTGAACCAGCATACTTCATCAACCCCCAGCTGATTGATGAAAACACAGTAAAAATGATATGATGAGTCTGAATATTATTTAGTTAATTTTTTTTCCTGAATCGTCAAGCTTAGACGTGTTTATAGGGGACTTATTCCGAAAAGCCGTTTTTGTTAAAAAAAAATGTGGATTTGCAACATAATTTGCTTTTATGTTTATTTTAGCTCTCATTCACTTTCCAGTCAACATATTTAGATTATTTTTATTCGAATTGAAAAGAATGGCATGTCTGATTATTAAAAGTTGAAGTTAAGAAAATGAAATAAATATTTTTCTTTTTATGATCAGCTGTATTTCCTATTGTTGGAAAATAATCACCACGTTTGACAGAGGGGGACTCATGGCATGATAAAATGTCAGAGGGGTAGACGAGTCGAAAAGGGTCGGGAATCAGAGTATGTGGGAAGCTCTCCCAACTGCTGTTCCTGTTAAATATTTATGTTTATGAAGCCACTATAGATCCGACTCGCTCTGCTGCAGGTAGAGACCGGAGAATAAAGAATAGAAATGGCTCCACCGTCCGGTGGCTCTCACCTGAGGAAGCAGCAGGAACAGCTGAACTTTCGATCACTGCATCCTGCAGACAGTCTGCTTTCTGTCACAGCTTCTAAATGCTCTGATGGTGTAAAACACTCAGCAGTTTAAGGTTAAACTCCCTGGTGTTTGGTCGATAGGTTTGTCTCTAAATGGGGACACACAGCAGGTAAGCAAGGTTTGAGTAAAATCGTTTGAGTGGCTTTAGGTAGACCTGATTAGAAGCTACACAGCAATCTAAATAAGTCATATTTTTATTAAGATAAGTGCTTTTTTTCTTGAACTGAGGAGGGAAGTGAGACAAGTGCATATTATCTTATTCACCTACTCGAATTAAGGTTCAATACACATAATTGAAGACATTTGGACTTATTTCTAGATCGTTTTTGCAGTGTAGATGCTGTTTCTGATGGATCTGAGTGAAGGCGGTGAATGGTTTCTTCCCCTGTGTGCGCAGGACCTCCTGGACCCCCTGGAGTTTTGCTGGTGAAGAATGTGGCCGAGACATCAGTGGAGCTGAAGTGGAGTCGCGGCCATGATAACCACAGTCCCATTGGCAAATACATCATAATGGGTCGATCGTCACTCTCATCAGAATGGAAGAAGATGATGACAGGTGTGTGAAAACATGGCGTTTATGCAGAGAGTGAGATGAAAACAGACAAACACAGAGACACTAGAGCACAAACACTCAGACACGCTTCAAAACTCAGCAGAGATACAGTTTCCCGACTGAAGGCAGTCAGACAATCGTTCATTGGAATTAAAAACTTTGGAAGTAATTGAGAAATAAATGAATCATCTGAGCAGGACAGCTTAATTGATTCGTCAAAATATTCAGAGGTAGGCTCTGATAAGAGTGTCAAACAAACTGGGTTCTGTTTTCTAAACTGTACAGAAATTAAGAACAGCTTTGAGGATTTTCCTGTGCAGTCTATTGGAAGAACATGAGAGGTGGGAAGTAAAGCTGGAATAACAGCACAGAACATTGGGCCTCATGCAAGAAGTGTTCATACAAACAAATGAGTTCTTCAATGGTTTACGAGTGATTCAGAACAAAATGCCTCATGCAGCATTTTTCCCCTATTTCTAAACTTCTCTCAGGTACAAACATATTTTCAGAGTAGCTCCATACTGACGATAGGAGTTAGAAGCAGACATAGAAAACGAAGCATAGATACAAAAGGCAACTGTCAACCAGCTCTACAGGCGGCCCCGTCCAGGAAACACACAGCCAGGCAGACGAGCTCCGAGCCAGCTCCCATGTCAGAGGATGAAGAGAGCACATCCAGTTAGTCACAGTCAGAGAAACAGGACTACACTGGAAAACAGGCCAAGCTCCAACATCTAGAAACAAAGGTGTTGATGGCAGCAGCGCAGCTGATATTTCTCTCCAGGATGGAGTCACAGCCAAACAGGAACAGACCAGATGAAGCTACTATGAGAAAAAGCAGAGAGAGCAGAACGTTAGAGATTGAACTAACAGATTCTGCGGAGTGGGAGAATAGAGATAGAATGAAGCAGAATGATGAAAAAGGGGTCCCTATGTCCTCCAGCAGTCTAAGCCTATAGCAGCAGAACTATAGAGATAGCTGCAGGATAAACTAAGTATTTTGGATGAGCTATAAGAAAAGTAGAGCAAGGAGAAAAGTGTATGAAAGAATGTGATGGTTCAACTACATTTAAAGTCTGATTGTCTAGAAAAGACAAACTTTTACCTGTTTAAACCAAAAAGTCAAGAAGCATTTCTTTATCTTTTTAACCGTAACATTAAAAGAGAACTTCCCTGAATCAGTGCATCTAATAAACCTGCGTCTCCTCTCCTCTCCATAGAACCAGCAAACATTGAGGGGAACGCAGAGTCTGCACGAGTGAGTGGACTTATTCCCTGGATGGATTATGAATTCCAGGTGATTGCCAGCAACATTCTGGGCAGCGGAGAGCCTAGCATGCCGTCCCACGTCATCCGCACAAAGCAAGCAGGTAATATTCCCTCCAACATAACCGAGTCTCTCTGAACTCCTTCAGTTCCTCCACCCTCTTGTTTGTAAAGCTGTGCAGAAGGAACGATTCATTCGTCTTAAGTTTTTGCATGTTGTTCTTTCTGGATCAGGCTGTGCGCACTCGTTCCTCGTCAGGTTTCAACATTTTTTGGAAGTGCATGACTAGACAATACCAGATGCAGAGAGAGCGTCGCTGCTATGCTGCATTTAGCCCAGACACCTTTTATGTGTCAAAGCATCTGAATTACATGCAAAGTCTATGGGGGACAGTAAATTGAACTTTTTCCAATGGACGCCGGAGCTTCAACCAAGAGTCCAGGTGTGCAGAGTCCGATTGTTTTTTTGCACATACAGTGTGAGCAGGTAGATCGCATCAGAGTGTCGGGTCGCACAGTGTGAGAACATGCATCGTGAACTGTGAACTTTTAAACCCTGCACTTTCATCGTTTAGTTGGAGCTGTAGCCGTGTGCAACGATTCAAAATATAGCACAGTGTATGCCCAGCTTTAAGATAAAAATGATCAGGCTGGCCCGTAGATGTTGCATAGATCTGCCTGTAGCCGTGGTGTCCTGGGATAGGCGGCTACACCGCGGCATATCAACGATGCTGTGGGGTTTATTTTTTCATAAGGCATTTCTCATTTACACGTACAAATAAGGGGATGAATATATTTTAAAAACAGTTGGCCCAGCTTTAATTCTCATTAAAATTCACTGCATCAACCTACAGTAATTTCAGTGTAATTTTGTAAAGTGCCTTGAGATGACATGTGTTGTGAATTTGGCGCTATATAAATAAACTGAATTGAATTGAATTGAATTGAAACTTTTGTGTTTGTGCTGAAATGTGCTGGACAGCTCCGTGTGGGAGGGGGCCCAGATGTCAGTCAAAGCCAAATTTTGGTGAAGCAGCCCTCTGCACTGAAATATGTTGGAGGGAATCCTGAAGTGAGCCTGAGTAGTATAAAATTAACTTTAGGAATTAATATGAGAATCTAGTAACATTTGTGCTAACTTGGGATTCAGGTGGAGAAGTAGCAGCCAGGATCTGTTAAAAAGTTCATAAATGATCAGATTAAAGCTACATTAAGATCGCACGCTGCTGGTTTACATGCAAGGGCAATGGTTGACGCACATCAAGGCGCAGCAAAATGTACTGCAGCACATTTTCAGCCACAGGAGCAGCACGTCTGAGCAGCTGAAACTGAAGCATGACTGAAGCTGCTGGAGGCATTTGGAGCTGCTGGATGCGCCTCCTCAGCCAATGAGAGAAGCTGATCTGGGAGCTGGCAGGGAGTCAGACGCAGCACTGCTGATGCAGAGCGCTATGATCACTCCTCTGAAACAGTTTATTAACGCCTAAATTAACTTAAATTGTCGAAATCTGCCGGCAGAATATGTTGGCTTTTATTATCCTGCTGCCTGCAGTTTGTAGCACAGACCTGAAAAACGCTAACATCTACTTCCAGCCGCCACCAACAGGAGGGGAAAACCCCAAGAGGCGAGCGGGCCTGAGGCAGCTGCTGCTGGGGATTCCCAGTGACAGCGCAGCGCCGGTATGTGGGGGTCTGAGCGGCTCCCACAGAGAAATAATCTTTGAAGGCAGGATGGTAATCTGGATGAACTGACTGCACAGACCATGTTTTCAGGAGGACTTTCTCACTTCAACATAGATTCTAACTACTTTCTACCCGCTGATCACAGCTAATATAGCAAAGCTGCTCTCTGGCATCGAACACAGGAGCAGCAGAAGCATCTGGACTCACTTTACTGGACGTCTGACCTTAATGAGGACAAACAGCAGAAATGAAGCAGCTGAAGCTTCTTTGCTGTTTCCAGTGCTTGCGGTCTGAACGTAGCATTATTAAGTAAAAATAAGCCAAGCAACTCTCTTGATTTCCTCCACCATTGTTCCAGACCAAGAAAGGATAGGGTAGCTCCGCCCACACGCATCAGACTAGAGCCGTGCGCTCCTGCAGGAGTCCCTCGGGACTCGCGGGACCCAACACAAAGCAGTGCGGCGCAGGAAGAATATTGAAAGCTCATTGCAGGTGTGGGCGGGAGCGGGGGTAAGCGGCAGTCCCGCAAACTAAAAACATGTTTTAAAATGTAAAATAAAGTCATAAATGATCAGTCTATGTCTATCATATTTATACATCACAATGTGCTGGGTGGGGCTCCATTATATGGTGTTTAAAATGATTAATTATAACTTATTATATTTTTATTTCATACGTGAACCTGATGATGAGTGGCATATAAGATTATGCACAATATCCATCCATCCATCCATCTTCCTCCGCTTATCCGGGGTCGGGTCGCGGGGGCAGCAGCCTAAGAAGGGAGGCCCAGACTTCCCTCTCCCCAGCCACTTCTTCCAGCTCTTCATGAGGAACCCCAAGGCGTTCCCAGGCCAGCCGAGAAACATAGTCTCTCCAGCGTGTCCTGGGTCTCCCCCTGAGCCTCCCCCCGGTGGGACGTGCCCGGAACACCTCACCAGGGAGGCGTCCAGGAGGCATCCTAAACAGATGCCCAAGCCACCTCAACTGGCTCCTCTCGACGTGGAGGAGCAGCGGCTCTACTCCGAGTCCCTCCCGGATGACCGAGCTTCTCACCCTATCTCTAAGGGAGGGATGCACAATATATTGCACAATATATTATTCTTAATATCCTCAGTAGATTTTGGTAGGTTAGTTGGGTATTGCTGTGAAGCAGCAGCTCGTGCCACCTAACGCACGTCATGCACTATGCGGTGAAGAATCGGCCAGTAATGTGCTCAGCTGAGCTCAGCGTGTTTAATTCCTCAAACTAATGACATGAATTGCTTTGAGCAGTAGCCGAATGACGGAATCATGCAGGAATTGCGGGCGGGAGCGGGACTGAAAATCATAATTCTTTGCGGGAGCGGGACTGAGCATTGCGGGAGCGAGCGGGTGAAGGACTGAAAATCATGATTTTCACTTGAAAACAAACGATGCTGTTAGGTTCAAAAATGTAGGTACGTAAAAGAGGAACTTAGTCTACACAGAAGAGGGATTTTTAACAACTTCTGCAGAAGGAGAGAGTTACATTCAGCTACATCTACTCTCTGACGGACTTCCTCTGCAGAAGCCTTTTTATTAGCAGATCATAACACATGGGGTGGGTTACAAAATAGAGTGTTCTTCTGACAAGGCAATTGATCAGGTCATAGGACAAAATGCTCCTCTGATTGAATCACAGAATAGAGTGGTCTCCTGATAACTGTGATTAGCCTTGCACAAACATCAGCAATTTTCTACCGCCGTTGCATGACCGTTTGCAGTAAACAGAGTGAAGCATCTCATTTCTCCAATGTTTTATATGTGCACACATTAACTTTATAATCATCATCGATTAAACCTAACAGATGCAAAGAGCAGTGTTGCCAACTTAGCGCTTTAGTCGCTATATTTAGCCACTTTTCAGACCCCTCTAGCACTTTGATTTCTAAAAAGCTCCTAGCGCCAAATCTAGCGCCTTTTTTCTGCTACTGGAGACTTTGGAGACAACATCTAAAAGCAGCGAACTCTGCTCTCCAGAGCGAGTAGATTGGTAACCCCGCCTCCTGCTCTCCTCTATCTTGTCTGCTGTCATGAATAGGGGTGTAAATCACATCCATCATGGCGATTCGATTCAGTATCGATTTCCTGACCCAACGATTCGATTATTTTCGATACTCAAGAATACACCACGATTCGATTCAATTAATCGGTTAAATTTTTTTTTATTATGATTATTTTTTTTTACATTAAACAAAGTTTCAAGTTTGAAATAAATCAATGAAAGCTGTAACATCGTTATGCATTTTTTTTAGAAACAACAGCAAATAACAGAAGTAGAAAAGTTGCATCAAAAAATACTGCACAGAATCAGTGCAATGAGTTCAATTCAATACCTCGGCTCCAGACGCCCCGCCCCCTCCACAGACGCTCCGCTGCACCTCTCCCAAATTGTAGCTGACTGCAAACAGTGCAGCAGACAGGAGGCCGGCTTGTTTTGTTTTTATGACCGAAATTGCAGAATACAACTCGTGAAGTTTGACCCGCTAGAAGAGCGAGGTGCGCGAGAACGCTGGGACCCTTTTTCCACCTGGATCTCCGCTCTTTTTGGCCCTCATGTCCCTCCGTCGTTGGACTAAACTCGCCCCCACTTCCTCGCCGCCTCGGCCGTATCTAGACCCACAGCGTGTAGCTCAGACCATGCTTCGATACTGAGCATAATTTAAAAATGTCTGTGTCAAGCTCACTGCAACACACTGCTGTAAGAGTATAACCAGGAACCGAGGTAGGAGGGCAAAATAGGTTTAGCGCCACCGCAGCACGGGAGGGAGAATTACGCCCAGGAGCAAATGGATAAAAATAGACCGGAGGAAAAAAAAAAACATGAATCGATTATCTTGCGGACGAATCGATGCATCGTTACAAAACGATTATTATTTACACCCCTAGTCATGATTCATGCAGCTTTTATTTCATCCAAATGAAAAATGGAGAACAGATAAGCAGATCATGGCTTGTCTACAGTGAAAAGAAGGACTGGGTTATTTACTTTGGCCTTTTTGGAAACACAGGAAGGAGCAATCAGCTAAGTGAGCTTAGTGCTTGGAAAAAATCTTTCATTCCTTTAGAGACAGCATGAAAAGTCAGCTGAGTACAAAACATAGAGAGGAAAACAAGAAGAAAAGGGACAAGAAGAGAGGGACACAACCTAGAACAGACAATGGATGTCTATTCTATTAACATTTCTCTATCTGGAGAATGGGGCTGTTTTATGTCTTCTCAATTCAGGGGCCCCATTCCTGTCTTTGCCTAGGGCCCCACATTTCCTAAATCTGCCCCTGATTTAGATCCTGACTGCTCTGCTTCTCCAAGGGATTTAATCGGTCTCCAGTTGAGGAGTTTTTTTCTTATATTATTTTAGCTTGTCCTTTTAGAGGATTCACAGCATGTGTTTTTTGGACCACAGCACCAACAGTGGCCCCTAGTGGACTTGGTGGAGGAGGAGGAAACCCCCATGAACTGATAGTTACCTGGACGGTGAGTGGGTCATTACTTTACTTTATGTTTTTCCATTTCAACATTTTGTCTTTCAGTGTGGTGCTCTGCAAATGGATGTGACCTTTTTTTATAACTTACTGAAAATAATGAAATCTGAATTATTTAAAAAGCGCCGCTGGCAGGGAGTGAGTTGCTGGTTTATCATGTCAGCCCTTCTGTTATGAGTTCATTTTGACTTTTAATGGAACCTTCCATTATACCAGGGTTAGGGGGTCAAGCTGGTGCAGATGATCAGTATGATAATCAGTTTGATGCTCAATCAGTTCTTTCATTTTATGAGTTATTTATTTTTAAAAATGTTTTAAAGGAGAAGTCCGGTCAGCAAGGAATAACCGATGGATCCTTCCGTAAAAATTAAAAAAATATCCACTGGACTTGGTTTTCAAGATTTGAAGACATTTCTCCACCTCTCCAGGAAGCTTTCTCAATTCAAATGTCTGGATCCGCAGTGAGTTTGAGTCTTGTATGGAAAAGGCCCTTAACAATCATAGACAGGTTCAGATATCACAGGCTAACGATGGAACTAAACGACCCATTCATCGGTTACCATTGCATGTTTCCAAGCAATACAAGGCCTTGTCCATACAAGACTCAAACTCATGGCGGATCCAGACATTTGAATTGAGAAAGCTTCCTGGAGAGGTGGAGAAATGTCTTCAAATCTTGAAAACCAAGTCCAGTGGATATTTTTAGAATTTTTACGGAATGATTATGACCTGACTGACTGAAAATCTTCATCAGCAACCGATGGATCATTATTTATACCTAAACTAATACGTTTGCAGTGATTTAATGACTTTAGCGTTAATCAGTAGAAAAACTATAATGTTTGTGGCGATCACTGAGTCTGGGAGCGGCCATTTTTGCCCAAATATAGTAGCCCCTCCCTCCTGCCATCTTCCAGCAGTGACGTCACGGTGCGGTAAGCCTAGCGCCATTCTCCCCGCTTTACAAGCTAAATCAATGGGAACTACTAGACACATCTGCAATCAACAACAATTATTGAAGATTTCCAGAGGACTTCACCATTGAAATTCACCAGAGCTATAGTGAAACTGACAATGCCCACGTGCATGGCAGCTGGATGCTGGAATACATCGGGTAAAAGGGAAAAAAAGAGTTATTCCACCTTTCTGATTCCTGATCCTCCACGGACAGGTTGGTCGTTGGATCGCCAACTTGAAGAGGGAGGATTTGCCATCGAACTTCTGGCCAGAGAAAAAACCCGTAATATGTAGCCAACATTTGGAAGAAGAATGTTTTCAAGATGACTTGGATAATAGCGCGTTGTGACTAGGGTTGGGAATTGAAAAGATTTTCACGATTCCGATTCCCTTTTTTGATTCTATGTAACGATTCGATTCTTTATTCGATTCCAATTTGGGGGAAAAAGGAGAACAAACAGTTTGATTATCAGCATCAACTTTGTTTACTTAACTATTGCACAATCTTACAAACTCAACAAGATCAAGATGTCCACAGGAAATGTGAAACTGGAGTAACATCTGTGTTTAAATGAAAAATGAATACAAGAACAAACTTAAAAACCAACAATGTCTAATAACAAATGATGGGATAATAACCTATTTTAAATAACAAAAAATACTAATTATAAAACAGTAGTAGGGAAAATTAACAGTTATTTTGCAGAAAGATGAGCATATCTGCTTTTTCTGGAAGGATACGGGATCTTTCAGCGCTTATGGTGTCTCCAGCCGTGGAGAACACCCTCTCAGATGGGGTGGAGGAAGCCTGCACACAGAGGTCGTTTTCAGCCAGTCCAGATAGCAAGGGCAGCGTATCTTGCTTGTTCCACCACCACAGTGTGGCGCTATCCCTGCAGTGGATGGAGGGCAAGCTTTTATAGAGCTGGATTTCCTGATCTACCCTCTGGGCTAAGGAAAGACGGGGCTTTGATTCACAAAGTGACCGCAGCTCGTTGTCTTCCGTACTTGCTTACTGAACGCCGTGTGCGTAACTTGCGTAAAAAACGTGACGTAAGTCGTGCTCCCCAGAGCCGGCGCTTTAGGCTCTGGTGCTGCGGGAATCGAAAAAGGAATCGTTCAGCGAGCTGCCAGACGATGCCATGGAATCGGAAAATACGGAACCGGTTCTGAACAGGAACCGGTTTTCGATTCCCATCCCTAGTTGTGACAAACACCAGATACAGCACTGGGACTTGATCAACAGCCGATACCGCACCGTGACGTCACTAACCAGTAGGTGGCAGTAGTGTTCTTTGACAAACATGGATGCCTCCAGTAAAGAACATTCACATGAAAATTACTCTGAATTAAAAACACTGATCATTTATTGAACAGGATGGAATCATTTCAGATTTAAAGAACTTTCAGAAGTTTGGATTCTGAATATGAGCGACTCTCCATTTAAAACGGACCAAACTGAGGACCAAGGGAGGACTTTTATGTTGGGTGTAGAGTATTTCACAATAACACAGATATTGGAGTGTTAACAAAATGTCAGGCTGGTAGTAGAATGGTGCCACCACCAGGAGGCCCTGATCGCACCTGTTAATGGATCACTGAGCAGCGCTGTGGCTTACATACAGCTGCGCCAGATTTAGCACACCAACCAATTATTTTTAGCAATGACAGCCTTTCCTTATGTCTTCGTTTTCTGCTCTGAACTCACCAGTCCATGGCCAGGGAGTACCAGAACGGCGATGGCTTTGGTTACATTCTGGCGTTCAGGAAGAAAGACACAGCAGCATGGTCAGAGGTGCAAATTCCACACCTGGAGTCCTCTCGATATGTCTACTACAATGAAAGCCTGACGCCATACACGGCATTTGAAGTAAGGATCAAAGCTTATAACCGTAAAGGAGAAGGTCCGTTCAGTCAGCTCTCAGAGGTCTACTCTGCAGAGGAAGGTGAGTCATTCCTGTCCTTTTCTTTGCACCAGTACTGGTTGTTAATTGAGATCTCAAATAACAGCAGAGTTGGATATTCTTTCTTTCCTAATTTGAGAGCACAATTTTAAATTGTTGTTAGAGAAAATCTATCAGTGGACTGTAATTAATCAGATTTTCATGCATGGTCTGGGTTTTCATTGTTAGAGTATTGTATTGCAAATATGATTAAATTCTTTAATTTTGGCTACAGGAAAAGTTTTTCCTGAGATACGGATGCATGTTTTCTATTTGATTCACACAAACTGTCTTTTTTTTAACATAGAATCTAAATCAATTCAGTTTTATTTTCACTGCTATCAACGGACCTTTTTCAAAGCCAGCTTATAGCGTCTTGCAAACATATTCAGCCACCTTGAGCTTTACGACCTTTTGCTACATTTCGATTCAATTCCATTCACTTCACTACATTTCTATAGCTCCAATTCACATCCTGTCATCTCAGGTCACTTTCCAGTTCAACCAGATCATCCAGTCAGATTGATTCAAAGGTTTCTATCTAAGGAAAACCAGGTGATTGCATCGACTCATTGACTCTTCAGCAATCCCTCACACTAAGCATGCTTTCAGCCAAGGGCGTAGGTTTGATTTCAGCTTTGGTAGGGACACTATTCTTCAGTTTCATTGGTCCTTTGCAAAAATATGCAGGCTCTTTTTTATGCTTAATGTGAGCTTCAGGGCTCATTTTGTTTAAAGAGAACAGCAGCATTTCTTGCTACATTAATACAAATCTTATAAGCACTACATGCACTAGATGCTGTTTATCAATATTTAAAGCATCACTGGCTCTGATGAATGTGGAAGTAGGACTTTTTCCACTTTGAAAAGGATTGCATTTAAATTCACCTGCGACTAAGACAGTGTCTGTTTAACCAAATATAGTCTATAATATGTGGATTTATCCTGTGTTTTCTTCTGAAGATATAGAATTGTGCAGAGGTAAAACCCACTCTTATTTTTTTTTAACTAATATGCTCTCTCTGGATCATGCAAAATAATAAATTCAAGGGACGGCAAATAAATGTATTGTATTTACATGTGCACTGGAACTAGAAGAGGAACTGACACTGAGCATTTAAAGTATTAATATTAGAAGTTGTACATCTGGGCTGTAGTTACTCTGTGTAGCTAATTTCATGTATTTTATCTCAGGCTGAAACAATTAATCATATTAACAAATTATTTAAATAATCGTGAACTAATTTAGTAATTGATTAATCGTAAACTGGAATATAGGGCCACTAAAATGTGCCTTGAGCCGACAGAGCGACCCACTTAGAGCAGGAATTATACCAAGATTGTAAAAAATATGTAAACATTTTGCATTTAAGAAGTAAAAAAAAAAGTTTTTGTCTGTCAATATTCTCCATTCAGAACTCCTCCAAAGGAAACGTTTAAACGTTTCTGTTTCACCTGGTTTCATTTCATAAAAGATCTTTAAGGAGCCTTTGGCTATCTGATTAAAAGATAAAATAAAAGAAATCCTAACGTTGTTAACTTAAGTTCCACAAATCAATAAAACTCTCTCCCACTTCTTTACAGAACTCCAATCAGAAGCTTTCGCCTGTTTTAGCGTAGATAATATTTTTTTTCAATTGGGACTAGTTTCGTAGCCCAATATTAATTTATTTTAGCGTCTTTTTTTTTTCGCGCTCCAAGCACCCGCACGCGCGCACATACAGACTAGAAAACACGCAATCAGAAAGAGAGAAGGCGGAACTTAAGGCAGAATAATCAGAGTTAAACCGCGCAGCACAGTTGATGCGCTGCTATGTGAAAGGGACAGGAAAGAGCAGGCAGCTGCAGCTACCAGGCAGAGAAGCTGCGAGAGGAAAAGAAGCGGCTGCTGTATAGTAAATTATAAACATGTTGTTCACATCCAATTATTGGTAGGGACAAATAGGTCCGTCCAAAATTTTGGTAGGGACATGTCCCTATGGTCCCTATGCAAACCTAAGCCCATGCTTGTAGCGACAGTGGAGAGGAAAAACTCCCTTTTAACAGGAAGAAACTTCCACCAGAACCACACTGGAAAAAAATCAAAATCTAGATAGGTCATTTTTTCTTAAAATAAGTGCATTTGTTCTTGGATTGAGGAGATAAAAGAGACATTTTGCCAATGGAACAAGATAATTTATACTTAAAATAAGAAAACACAATTGCATTGTCTTATTTCAAGTGCATATAAACTAATTATCTTATTTTAAGAGTAAAAATACTCATTTCATTGGCAAACTATTTCATTTACCTACTCAAATTAAGGTTAAATACACTTAATTTCAGACATTTTTACTTATTTCTAGATCGTTTTTCCAATGCAGGCTCAGTGTGAGCGGCCATCTGCTGACGCCGACTGGGGTTCAAGGAGACAGAAGCAGAGATAGAAAAAGAAGCATAGTCGATATGATCTAAAAAGCAGAAACAAATCTGTTTACTGAAAAAAAGTTAAAATGTAAATCACTGGACTAAGGCCCCGTCCACATGAAGTCAAAACGAACACGAAACGCTAATATTTTCCAGAACGTTTGTCGTAAAGACGGAGACGTAAAATAAATGTGATCGTCCACACGAATGCATGAAAACGCTGCAAAATGTATGCCAGGCCTGTAAGTGGCGCTGTGGTGCCAAAGCAAAAATAGGCGACGAAGTGTTGGGCATGCGCACTAATATTTATACATGGTTGCCCTGCGGTTCCATTTTCGTGGTTCAGTCAAATTCAGGTGCTGAACTATGTGGTCGATATTGCTCTGTTCTTCCTGGAGATATTCCAGAAGAAGAAGATTCTGTTGTAAGCCCGACAGCAGGGTGAGTAGCATGAGCAGCAACCATTCAACACAGTACGGCGCCATTGTTGTTGTGATACTGTGTCGCGCATGCGTGTGTAGAGGCGACGCTATGACGCATGCGTGTAAGAAAAAAAATGCGGTCAGAGCTTAAAGATGGAAACGCGAAAACGGCGTTTCAGAATCTTCCCACTCTGAAGGCTTAATAAAAAAAAAGATCGTTGACAGACCCCCGAAACGCCGGCTTCGTATGGATGAGAGGCTGGTTTGGTGAAAAATTAGGGCGTTTAGGCCAGGGTTTGACTTCGTGTGGACGGGGCCTTAGTTTCCAAGTTTGAAGACATTTGGCTTCCCATCCAAGAAGCTTCTGAAGACATTTTGAATTGAAAAAGGTTCCTGGATGGGAAGAGAAATGTCTTCAAACTTGGAAACAAAGTCCAGTGGATTGTTTTTAAAACTTTTTTGGAATAACTATGACCTGGATGACTGAAGATCTTTACCAACGACTGTTTTCATTTGATAAACATGGATTAGCTCTGGTGAGAGGGATTCAGACAGATAATAGAGCGAAACAATAAAGCACACTGACTACGCCCTCACTTCCTTACTGTTACTCTCCATTGTTTATTTTCCTGATCTCTGTCACGGTAATGTAACGCTAACATCACAGCTAACCCACTATGATCATGTCAGCAGACGCGCAGCTGTGGGGGTCAGAGGCCATGCAGCTTTCTTTGCCTGTAGGAATGGAGCCAAATGCTGATTGTTAGCAGGTTCACCCATGTTTGAAAAACACGCGTTAACCCGCTATTTTATTTAGCTTAGTTTATAGTGACACAGGTTGGCGTAAATCCCTTCATATTGTTGCGGTTTTCTCATGGAGAGCTTCAGTAACTTAGAGTCCTTCCCCAGGAGAGTGTAGCCTTAAAGGAATAGTACACCCAAAACATGATTAGCCTTCATTTTCTACTCACCCCCATGCTGAACAACACTCTGGAGTACTTTTTTGATATCTCAAATGCATCTGGAGATCTGGGAGGCTTCTTGCTGTCTGCTGACATTCAAATAATGGAGGTCTATGGCGCCCGAGGCAGAAAGGTCCATAAAAGTCCACAAAAAACGTGTCAATATTCCTCCATACTGCTCGTCCAATGTATTCCAAGTGTCCTGAGTGGGTAGCGTCCAGAATTTACTCGAAACGAAGTCATTTAGAATGTTTTTAGAGCATAAACAGTAGTGTATAGGATTTCCTAAAAGCGCGTTCACGGCGCTACGGAAACCGCGGCAGACCAAACCAGATGAAAGTGCGCATTCAGCTCGGCAAAGAACTCATGCTCTTCCTCAACACTGAAGTCCTCAGACATTTTTCTTTCGTTGTTTCTTTCTTTGCACAGGTAAACAGCACATTTCTTCTTCTACGCTTGCATTATCGGCAGAGCAGACGCTGAATGCGCACTTTCATCTGGTTTGGTCTGCCGCGGATTCCGTAGACTCGTGAACGCGCTTTCAGGAAATCCTATACACTACTGTTTACGCTCTAAAAACATTCTAAATGACTTCGTTTCGAGTAAATTCTGGATGCTACCCACTCAGGACACTTGGAATACATTGGACGAGCAGTATGGAGGAATATTGACACGTTTTTTGTGGACTTTTATGGACCTTTCTGTCTCGGGCGCCATAGACCTCCATTATTTGAATGTCAGCAGACAGCAAGAAGCCTCCCAGATCTCCAGATGCATTTGAGATATCAAAAAAGTACTCCAGAGTGTTGTTCAGCATGGGGGTGAGTAGAAAATGAAGGCTAATCATGTTTTGGGTGTACTATTCCTTTAAGAGATCAAGTCAATTTGTATATAAATAATAAGACCATGAAATAATACAGAAACAAGACGCCATAAACATTACACCATTTACACACCTGAATTGTGTCTGAAATAAAAAATAATAACAAAACTGTACAAAAGTAAAGTAATAAAATAATAACAACGGTCAATTTTATATCAACTTCAAGTTTTCTAATAAAGATGAAACTTTGACAGCGGGTTTGGAATTAGTTAGTCTCAGAGACTTATAATATAAATCCAAGTCATTTTTCCAATGGCAAAAAGTGGGTTTAGTCTTAAAATACCTACATCTGTGAATGAAGAATTTTCCCAACAGTATAAGGTCATTTCCTAAATATTCAAGAGTCTTATTCTCACTTTCTAAACCAAATAAAATACTTGTGTCAGATAGTGGTGACAAAAAAACATTCTTACTTATTAGCCAACTTTGGAAATCTTTCCAGAATTTAAAGTTTGGTTCACAAAAAAAAAAAAAAAATGTTTCAAACTCTCAACGTTTCTCATGCAAAAAACACAATATTCTGTATCAAACTTAAACTTAGAAGTCATAAATTCTTTCGTTGGATATATTTCATTGATAATTTTGAATTGCATCTCTTTCGCTTTTGGTGGCAGAGGGTAAGTTATGTAATTAGTTCTTATTTTAATAATCTGATCTGTTGTAAAGTCCTTTAAAATGTAATGTCTTCTAATTGGATTTGGGAAAAGTTCTTTTAAAAGGAGATTCCTCAACATCTTATTGTTACATCTAATATCCTGGATCTGAATACCTTCGATCTGCAGTGATCTCAGTGTAGAAATCTGAAGAACTGATCGTTGTCTGGACGCTACACAGGAGATCCTTTCCTACCCTGGATAGATCATTTCTGTTGATCCAATCAGCGACATGCTATATCAGCTTTACATTAGACTAGTGTCTCTAAATCCTGATTTAAATCTTTTAAGCTCTGGTGAAGGGTGCTCATCTGAAATAGATTTTATATTAAAGGTATACTATGCAACCGGTGTTGATTTTCCAGCGAGGCTCCCCCCAGAGGGCGAAAGTAAAAGTGCACTTTCGTAAATATGCTCAGCTGTTCTCCTGGTTTCTCCGTCAAGCCAGGCGCGGTTGTTTTGAGCTTAGCAGACAGGCGAACGCAACGAATGACTAAGCATCTGACGCGCCGCAAACACGTTGCTGCTCGAGATGGAAAAATTTAATTTTTGCTGCTCGACGCGCCGCGTCAACCAATCAGAGAAGCTGGTCTGGGAGCTGGCAGGGAGAGAGACACAGTGCTGATGATCGCTCCTCTTAAACAGTTTATTGACTCCTAAATTAACTTAAAATGCAGAAATCTGCCGGCAGAATATGTTGGCTTTTATTATCCTGCTGCCTGCAGTTTGGATTATTTAGATGAAAAACACCTACCAGCTGCCGCGGTGAACCGCGAGGAGGCGACCCGGCCAGAGGCTGCTGATGAAGGGATTCCTACTGTCGGCGCACCGCCGGTATGTGGGGGTCTGAGCGGCTCCGACAGAAAAAATATTGGAAGGCAGGATAATAATCTGAATGAACTGACGGCACTGATTACGTTTTCAGGTGGATTTTCTCACTTAAACACATATTAAAACTACTTTATTCCCACTGATCACAGCAAATATAGCTGCAAGGCAGAGAAAGGATAGTGAAGCTCCGCCCAACGCGCGTCAGACACACTTTTGCACCGCGCAGCCAGAGCAGCAAAGCTGCTTCAGCCGCGCGTCAGAACTAACTGGTACAAGCAGTAAAAATGAAGCAGCAGACGCGATTTTGCTGCTTTTGCTGCGTCCGATGTGAACGTAGCATAACTGCACAAAGATCGCCACTGTCTACTTCTTCTTCTTGTTTTACTGGCAACTTGCAACCAAATGGAGCATTATCGCCACCTACTTGATCTTATTTATGTTTCCTTAAATCCTTAGGTTTAGTCCAGTTTGTTGAAGATAAGATGACATGATTTTAAGTACTGTCTTTCTGGATTTATTGATCGCCACTGTGCTAGCAACGAGCATGCTTTTAACTGGGGCGTGTAGCAGTTCTCGCCGTAAAGCAAGACCGACTCCCGCGAGACTTCTGAGCCTGTGGGTGCGGGCCGAGGGCTCCTGCTATTGCAAGTGCAGTATTTCCCCCACAGACCACCAGGGCGGCCGAGAATACCTTTGTTCCACCTGAAATGACTCATTTAATCATCCAAAACGTTATGGAACACATTAATTAACTGAAAAATGTTGCATAGTGTGCCTTTAAAGGATTTTAAAATGCAGTAGAATTTTAGAAAAAAAAAACAAAAAAACATTTATTTAATCACATTATAAAATACAGTGAAACGTGTACCATGGATGCTCACAGATACAAGCACCCTCTGTTTCTGATTGGGAGGTGGGTGTGGATGTGTGTATCTGAGGAGCAGATCAAAAATAAGAGGCTTGAAAAGGACTCCAAAGCTGTTTTTCCCACTTTAACCACTAGAGAGCAGCCAAAACCATGTCACCACTATGGGAGGTTTATTAGCTGTCAGTCTGTCCATAGCTGGTGTGTTATGAAGCAGGGTCCATCATTATGATGCTCGTTCCCTCCCCATAGAGCCCACTGCGAGACCCTCCAGCGTCAATGCCACGGCGCTCTCTGCCTTTGAGATCCAGGTGTCATGGGAGCCCGTCCAGCTGTTCAGCAACGATATCATCCGAGGATACGAGGTAAACGGCTTCACCCACAAAAAAGTTTAGTTTTTACTTTGGAAAAATAGGAACTAGTTTAAAATTGACAAGCTGCATCTTCAAAATGCAGAGGTCAGAGGACTGATCCAGCAGCCTGTGAGGCCCCTGTGCTCCACGGTGTTTAGGATTATCACCCTGGATATCACTCTGGATCATAAAGCTACCAAAAACGATCAGTTCATTGAGCAGCTGGATTAACTGTATTCAGTCAACCGCTTTACATCAGACAACGGGAGAAATGTTTGAGCCGAACCGTCAATATGTGCAAACACCAGATGGACCTTTTCTTAATAAATAACCTTAATAAAAGCATTTTGTTGAAAGCCTGAATCAATTAAAGTGACCTGCAGCCAATTTCTCAGCCACAGCAACGGGATCCTGATAATGGGAAGATAATAGGAAGAGAGATGTTATCAATAACTAGCTAAAAGCATAATGAATTAAATTCTATTCAGTTTATTTCTATAGCTCCAATTCACATCATGTCATCTCAGGTCATTTTCCAGTTCACCAGATCATCCAGTCAGATTGATTCAAAGTTTTCTATCTAAGGAAAACCAGCTGATTGCATCGACTCATTGACTCTTCAGCAATCCCTCACACTAAGCATGCTTGTGGCGACAGTGGAGAGGAAAAACTCCCTTTGAACAGGAAGAAACCTCCAGCAGAACCAGGCTCAGTGTGAGCGGCCATCTGCTGAGGCCCACTGGGGTTCAAGGAGACAGAAGCAGACATAGAAAAAGAAGCATAGATACAAAAGGCAACTGTCAACCAGCTCCACAGGCGGCCCCGTCCAGGAAACACACAGCCAGGCAGACGAGCTCCGAGCCAGCTCCCATGTCAGAGGATGAAGAGAGCACATCCAGTTAGTCACAGTCAGAGAAACAGGACTACACTGGAAAACGGGCCAAGCTCCAACATCTAGAAACAAAGGTGATATTTCTCTCCAGGATGGAGTCACAGCTAAGCTAGATTTTAAACTAGAAAAAACATTAAATAAAAACATCTTTGTTAACTGATATAGAAATAAAAACCAGACCCTGTACAAAACCAAAACTAACTGAAACTGTGGTAAGATATTGAAAACTATTTAAAACTAACTGAATTTTAGGACAATTTTTTTTCTTTGTGTCTTTTTTCAGGATGTATATGGTCTCAGTTTATCTCTCAGTACAGGAACAGGCCAGCAGATGGCAGTATACTCTCAGCTCATTTGTGTTGCTGCAGTGCTCTGTCCTTATCTGGTATCTAAGTATCTAATTGCATAAAATACTGCAAACAATCAGCTGTACCTGTACAGTTTTTCTTTATTTTGTTCTTTTTTTTTTTTTTTTTTACATTAAGGATCCCAATTAGCTGTTGCCATGGAAACAGCTAGTCCTCCTGGGGTCCATATAAAAACATACGATAAAAATCTCAGGCAGAAATATAACATTTCCAAAAATATAATTTCTCAACACAAAAATGATCAGAGGATGAACAAAAGCACAAATAAAGTAAAAAAGCCAATAAAACAAAAACCAAAATAATCAAACTGGTGTTTCTCTCTGGTCTCATGAAGACATTTCACCTGTTGATCCATCTGACCTGAACAGAGCAGCGGTTCAGAGGAAGCTGGCACATTGTCCTCCTGTTTGCAGGGGATGGTTCTGATGTGAAAATCTTTCTGTTTTAGTCGGTTTCAGGTATTTTTTGGGGTTTTATTTTCAGCAAAGTGCTGAATGTGTTTATTTGTATTTATCTGGATGCTGCATGAATTTCAGCTTTTTCTTGTTTAAAAGAAAAGGTTTATTGGATAATAAATCCCTATGTTCTCACTGATACGGTTTTCAGGGCTGCTGATGCATCAGAAGTGCTTTGACCTACTGTAAGCTGATTAATGTTTATTACCTGATGATAATTCAGGCTTCCGCTATCAGCTTTATTAGGTTCAGTTTTCAGAGCAAAAGGCATTCTTTCATTAGTGACGGAAAAGCTGAGGTCAGCAGCTGATTGCTTGTCTGGAATATTTTTATTTCCCTGTTTATTGACCTCATTTGGGGGACGTGTTGCTGTGTCCAGAGTGTGATTAGGGAGTGAGCCTGTGTTGTTTGTGTCCTCAGATCCGGTACTGGCGGCAGCATGAAAGGGAGGCGGCGGCGGACCGAGTACGGACCGCCGGGCTGCAGCCTTCAGCCAGGGTCTCTGGCCTTCGACCCAGCACTCGATATAACGTAGCCGTTCTGGCGTACAACAGCGCCGGCGCTGGGCCTGCGTCGCCTCGCACCAACGTCACCACCAGGAAACCACGTACGCCTGCAGCTCCCACAGGGCTCACAGCCCATCAAATCACACGCCACCCAGTAACTGTAGGAGAAAAACCAATTTATTCTAATGTGGAATATATAAAGTTCAGTTCAGTTTATTTCTATAGCTCCAATTCACATCATGTCATCTCAGGTCACTTTCCAGTTCACCAGATCATCCAGTCAGATTGATTCAAAGTTTTCTATCTAAGGAAAACCAGCTGATTGCATCGACTCATTGACTCTTCAGCAATCCCTCACACTAAGCCTGCTTGTAGCGACAGTGGAGAGGAAAAACTCCCTTTGAACAGGAAGAAACCTCCAGCAGAACCAGGCTCAGTGTGAGCGGCCATCTGCTGAGGCCGACTGGGGTTCAAGGAGACAGAAGCAGACATAGAAAAAGAAGCATAGATACAGAAATGATCTTACCATGATCTCATTCTGCTGCTCTTTTAAGAAACAAACATAAATATTATGACTCAATGTGTCGTTTCCTCCTTGACTTTCCGAATATGTCACAGTTATTTCATATGCCAATATTAACTAGAATGTCTTCAGAGTAGTAGTATTAACAGCTGTGGTTCAGAAGTGGATATTTAAGGAAAGGGACAGAAATTAAAAGGCCAACATCAATCTAGGCTAAGTCTTCAGCAGGTCAGTTAAGAGATAAATAATAATCTTTACAGCTTTAGTTTGTTATTCAATAGGTTTGCGATATCTAAATCTCTGATTTCAAGTGCTAAAATCTAAATGATCGAAAAACCTGGGCTTCATTAATCAGTGCCAATAAGAGATATTTGAATTTTCACCAAAAAAAATAGTGTTTAATCATCTGTGAGCAGACCCAGATTACCCGACCTTCTTTTCTCTGTTATTTTTATATATATATATATATTTAATTCCCATCCTTTATTTCTTCATTTTCAGCACCTAATCGTCCTCCAGGCAACATATCTACTGAAACTAAAGGATCTGAAGTAACGCTGAGGTGGAGTCATGTGACGGCTCTGCACAACGAGTCAGCTGTGTCGGGCTATAAGGTGACTTTGCTGAACAAGGTTCATTTTTTAAACGGAAAAAAAACCAACCAGTCGTCATGCTTTGAAGATTTAATGCAGCCCAAAACAAGCCAATCAGAAGTAAAGTCTCCCATTCAGTAAGCTGTGGTTCTGAGACAGAGAGCTGTAAAATAAACCTGGTTTTATTAAGGTTTACACTGCAAAAACATTCTAGAAATACAATAGAAGTACAATTGTCTTAAAAGAAACATATTAACCCTTAATCTGAATAAGATAATCTCTTAAAATAAGATAATTAGATAATATGAACTTAAAATAAGACAATGCAATTGTCTTTTCTTATGTTAAATGCAAATTGTCTTGTTCCATTGGCAAAATGTCGCACTGGAAAAAAATCTGACACTAGATAAGTCGTTTTTTTCTTAAAATGAGGGCAATTTATTTCTAATTGAGAAATTAAAAGAGAGATTTTGCCAATGGAACAAGACAATTTACATTTAAAATCATTTAAAATAAGAAAACAATTGCATTGTCTTATTTCAAGTGCATTGTATCTAAATATATTATTTTAAGATTTAAAAAATGCGTCTTACATTGACAAATCATGTCATTTATCTACCCAGAATTAAGGGTGAATACATTTAATTTAAGAAATCATTTTTTCAGTGTGCAATCAACTCCTCAATTCAAGAAAACTCATACTTATTTTATGAAAAAAAATATTTATTTAGATTTCAAATTTGTGCTGTGTGTTGGTTGTGTTTATTGAAGATAAAGGTTTTTATTTGTGCCTGACCTCTAAGCTGGAAGTTCATGCTTTAGTTTTTAAAGTTTAAAGAATTATAATCTCGTCTAGAGAGAGATGAGAACAATACGTGGCCAGATAAGAAACATAAAAACATGTTTATCAGGGCCTGTAGAGTTTGATTTGGAAGACAAGAATAGTCACAAAAATATTTACCCTTAATTTTAGTAGGTTAATGGGATTATTTGCCAATAGAATGAGTATTTTACTCTTAAAAATACGATAATTAGATAATATGCACTTGTAATAAGACAGTGCAATTGCTTTTTCTTATTTTAAGGGCTGCAACTAACGATTATTTTAAAAATCGATGAATCTGCCGATTATTTTTTCGATTAATCGATGAATCGGACAAAAAATATTTTTATATTAACCTCTTTATTTCAAAATAAACATTTTATTCAGAACAAACAAGCACACAAGTACAGGTTGCTCATTAACTGTACTGGTGCAATATGAAAAATAAATGTTTGTGTTAAAACTACGCAAACTTACATGAGAAATGTAGCTGTACATCCACAAAATATAGGCTACTTTGTTTCATAAAGCGCTAAAAAAGACATTTTTGTTTTTTAAGCCCCTAAGGGGTTCAAACAACAGGCCCCCCCATTTCAACAAATGAGTTTTTTTTAGACTAGAAGAGTTCTGCCTTTTAAGAACGGAAAGTATAGCAGTTAAAGTTGCTACTTGAGAAAATACTGAACCATAGAGATAAAAATAGCCTGTGATTCAAATTATAAATTGTATTTGGAATAAAAATGAGAGAACTAGGGGTGCTAAAAAACACATCCTCCAAAGACAGATATTTACATGGGAATGTGGCAGATAATTAATTGACATATTACTGATCTTGCTGGATTTTATTCTGCTTTACTTCCATAAATTGCAGGATCTTCTTTTCTTTATCTTTGCCAGAAGATTTAAACTTTAAAAGTCTTGCCCTCATAATTTGCAAGTTAATTTATTTATAAAGAAAATATAAACGCTGCTTAAGCTAATTCAAATGAAATTAAAAGTAAAATAAGTAGCCAACCTTATCACTGTCTGTAACCTACTAACACGGTAAGGAAAGCATCAGATGAGCTACCTGTGAAACTAACGTTACGTTTCCCCACTTTAAAACCAAACAAACATGGCCGCTCATCCTGCTGATCAGCTCTCTTCACGCCATCGAAGGCTCCAACGTGTTTCCTTTTCAGGTGCTGCATCATAACAGCGGTGCTTCCGTGCCATGTTCATTTGTTTTTACTAAAGTTGCATGTTACGACTTTTTTCACTTTACAAAGCGCAGGCTATTTTAATTATTGTGATCAATTTGCGCCGTCAATCCCGGCGCGTGCGCGCTTCATTTGCAGTCTGGATGCTGAGGGTAAACATCCTGCGGCTCTGACTGCAGCGCTGAGAGGGACTCCTGCGGGAGAACGGGGTTGGGATGGGGGAGGCGCCCCACGGCAATGACGGCGGTGGCGGATGACGCATTAATCGCGTGACACAACTAATCGATGATGAAATTCGTTGCCAACGCTTTTAAAAGTCGTTTTTTATCGATTTTATCGATTCGTTGTTGCAGCCCTACTTATTTTAAATGTAAATTGTCTCGTCCCATTGGCAAAGTCTCTCACTTACATCCTCAATTCAAGACAAAATGCACTTATTTTAAGAGAGAAATTACCTATTTAGATTTCAGTTTCTTGCAATGCAGCAACCTCCAGATCTATCAGTTCTTAATAACTACATAAACTACTGATAATTGTAGTTTTTCCTTTATGAGACCTGCTTGTATTTCGTTTTTCAGGTTTTGTACAAACATGAAGACCAGACTGTTATGAAGGTTTTGGACAAAACAAAGACCTCATTGAGCCTCCCTCTCCCTAAAGACTATGGCTATGTGGTGCTACAGATCCGGACTTGCGGCGAGGGTGGAGACGGGCCGCCTCATGAAGTCATCGTTTCCCAGGACTCTGGTAGGAGGATGCAGCAGGATTCCTGGATTGGTGCTTCCTGTTGATTAGTAGGAACCTAAACTCAGATTATTGGATGAAGCAGAATTTATCCACAGGAATGAAGAGATGCTAGAAGAAAGAACGATGTTGAGGATGCTTAAAGGAATAGTACACCCAAAACATGATTAGCCTTCACTTTCTACTCACCCCCATGCTGAACAACACTCTGGAGTACTTTTTTGATATCTCAAATGCATCTGGAGATCTGGGAGGCTTCTTGCTGTCTGCTGACATTCAAATAATGGAGGTCTATGGCGCCCGAGGCAGAAAGGTCCATAAAAGTCCACAAAAAACGTGGCAATATTCCTCCATACTGCTCGTCCAATGTATTCCAAGTGTCCTGAGTGGGTAGCGTCCAGAATTTACTCGAAACGAAGTCATTTAGAATGTTTTTAGAGCATAAACAGTAGTGTATAGGATTTCCTAAAAGCGCGATCACGATGCTACGGAAGCCGGCAGACCAAACCAGATGAAAGTGCGCATTCAGCTCGGCAAAGAACTCATGCTCTTCCTCAACACTGAAGTCCTCAGACATTTGTCTTTCGTTGTTTCTTTCTTTGCACAGGTAAAATGAAGGCTAATTATGTTTTGGGTGTACTGTTCCTTTAAGGGTTATTATTATTATAAGCAAATAGAAAATAAAAAAGCTGAGGCCATAATCATAGAAAGCAGAATGAACCAATCCTGCTGGAGCAGAAGCACATGAAAAAGATAAAACGTGAACCCCCCCCCCCCCCACACACACACACACACACACAACTCTGGCTGCATCTGATAACAATCAACACAGTCAGATAAACGTTAATGTTATCGGACTGTGTTGGATAAAGTTTGTCATGATTTTAACTATGATCTGACCCAAAAGCAGTAAACCGATACAGAAAGACCTGGGAAAAAGTTTAACAGGTTTATTTAGGAGATTGTGAAGAATCCAGTGTTGCTCTGAACACTGCTCAACCGGATCTGAAAGGTGAGGGGAAGACACTGCGGTTAGTTCAGGTCAGGCTCGGTGGGAAATGTGATTCTCCTACTTGAAGAGGAGGATTTTGTTGCTGACTCACGTTTCCAGAGAAGTTGTTGACACTTTGACTCCAGTTTGTGTGCGGTAGTTCCAGTGTTTGTCTCAATCAATAGAGGGCGGACAGGGTTTACCCAGAATGCGTTTGTTTGTAGGTGAACGGAGAAGCTGACTGCCACTCAGATTTCCTGCGGTACTTGAATGGGTCGTAGTGGAGATGAATCCCTTGCTCAGTGTGAAGCTCAAACAATCTCTTGAGGAAAAGTTGATTCAAACCTCAAGTTTAAATCCTCAACTCAGCTTGAAGCTCAGATGATCCTTCCAGGGAGAGAAGGTCCAAAACATCCAGTTTGCTGGATGACTTCCCAAAACTGGCAAACACTCTTGCGTCGAGGTAGTGTCAGTCAGCAGGTTAAGAGCGCTCCGTTAATGAGGTAACTCTGTGCAGGTGTGTAGGGAGGCGGACCAGAACCAGGCGCCTCCTGGTGGAGGAAGGGAGACAAACACAGACAGGAATCCTGACAATGTTAACGTTTGTCTGACACGTTAGCCCGTCTGCAGCGGCGCTCTCTCTGCATAGCCTTGTGTGAAGTACCGCTGGCTATTTTGGTGATATTTTTGTTTTAATTTAGTAAAATATTCATTTGGTTTGTGTTTATCTGACATTGTTCATTATATTCCCCCAATAAATGAAAAAAAAGTCTAATTTATTATTATCTAGAGACTATTAATAACAGGAGGTGAAATGAAACTCCAGACTAGCTTTGAATGTGATGATGTCATCAGTACGCTTCTGTTGACCCAGATTTATTCTGCGTGCTTCGTTCTCACCTGCGTTCTTGTCAAGAACATTCTTGGCGAGAACACGAGTCTGTACTCGCGTTCTGGTGAATTGAAAACGACCAGAGTTTTTGGCGGAATAGAGACAGGAGTGATGTTAGCAAGCCGGGCTAATGTTAGCATGCTTTCAGGAATGAGGTCAAGCAAGGAGAACCAAAATAACGCTCCGTAAAGTTCGCGTTGTTCAGAGCTTTTCTCCTTTGAACAAAGAACCCATATTAAAAAGAAGAAAAAACTAAATCTATTCCTAGACTTTCCAGCAGGTTTAGACTGAAGCTAAATACATGAAACATGGAGGTCCTTCTTACCGGGGCCTGTGCGTCAGGATTTATCGAGCATTTCACGTTCTAAAACAGGTGAACTTCGGCTTCATTTAAAGAGAAAGTCAAACATTAATGTCAGATAAGATTATTATTTTACATGATTTATATTTACAGTCCTTTGACAGGTTAGGATAAGAAAAGAAAAGGTTCTAATCAGAGATTAGAACAGTCAAGTTTGAGATATTTAAATTAAGCCTTTTTTATGTTGACAGTCTGCAACAAATGCTCATTTAAAATGAGTGAATTAATATTCAATTGAAATAATAAAATATTGTTGGGTAGTTTATAAGTTATTCATTATAAAGTCTGTAAATAATCCTTTATTATTTATCCTAAAAGTGGAGATTCTTTTTGCTCGATCTGAGCCGATCTTCTGCTTGTTTGCTTTGCAGGAACTGGGATGATGGTGCAGAAAGATGGCGGCTCCACGCTGGACGCATCGCACGCCTGCATCTCGGCTGGCTTGGTTCTCCTCGCTCTCACCTTCCCCTGATCCCCGATGGTCGCTGTCGATAAACTCAAGGCTCCAGATGGACTTGGTTTCAGTTAGAATGTTTTTTATTTTCTGATAACAACAGTTTAATAACTCACTGCAATAGAGGCTGAGGGGATTACGTGTGATGGGAGCCATCGCCGCTCATGATGAGGCATTATGCTGCTTTCAGACCGCGCGCAGCAGAAGCAGCAAAAACGCGCCTGCTGCTTCATTTTTAATGGTTGTATAAGTTTAGTTCTGACGCAGCTGAAGCATCTTTGCTGCTCTAGCTGTACGGAGGAAAAGTGGTTCTGATGCGCGGTGGGCGGAGCTACTCTATCCTTTCTCTGCCTGGAACAATGGCGGCTATATTAGCTGTGATCAGCGGGTAGAAAGTAGTTAGAATCTATGTTGAAGTGAGAAAGTCCTCCTGAAAACATGGTCTGTGCAGTCAGTTCATCCAGATCACCATCCTGCCTTCAAAGATTATTTCTCTGTGGGAGCCGCTCAGACCCCCACATACCGGCGTAGGCACCAGATCTGCTTTATGATGTCAAAACGTGGCAACTCCACTCGGACAAACTCTAATGCACCACTTTCCTAAGGATCAAATCTCTTTTGGAATCTAAACACATAATTCCCTATATTTGCTGTTATTTCACATTTCATCTACAATCTAAAGTAGCCGAAAGTAGAAAACAATCATTCTAAGTCTTGACGGAAAGTCCCGCCTTCTAAGACAGACTGAGCTCTGCTGTTTAACAAGGACACACTAAAAGTCTCGGCTTATTTTAATTCTATTTATTAAGATCTGAGGTTAGAGGAGGACAAATGGAACATCCTAAAAAATGACTTTCCACGAGATTTTATACAAATAAATCAGTTATTCTGCTTGTAGAAAACGTAAATTTCTCCAACTTCAGCAGCTGCTGCTTCTGTATGGGAGAATTATCCTGCCATAATGCAAGAGCACATCATTTCAATTTGAGAAAAGAATTTCATCTTCTTGCACTCAAAACTTATAATGCTCACACTCCAAACATGCGCTCTCTCTCAAATATTTTCTCTTTTTCTCTCAAATCTTTGTTTCTTCTCTCAGATTTAATGCTTCTTGCACCGATATTTTCTCCTCTCGCTTGCCTCCTTCTCTTCGCGCACAAATTTAAAAGCTATCCATTTTCAGAGGTGACGTGATGTGAACAGAAAACTCCCGCCTCAGAGTTGCTCGTCAGAAAAAAAGAAAAAAAGTTTGCTAGTCAGAGCAGATGCTAATTCTGCCTCCAGCAGAAATTAAGTGACTTTTCATTGGTGATCCTTGAATCGCCCTTTATTATTTCCTTTTTTTATGTTCGCGATTGTTGTTGTTTTTCAGCTTCTTATTTTAATAGCTTTTAAATTAAAAAGCCAATTTATTGTCGGTAAGGTTTATCACAGGCACGCTCAGTAGAGTTAGACAAGCGCACCCTTTCCGAGGCTGTCACTCTATTGGCTGGAAAGGTTGCTAGGCGACGATCCGATCCAATCTGAGAGAGAGCAAAAAAAATCCGCAAGCAGAGCCTCTGGGTTTGTGAGCGTATCTGAGACTCGAGCAGAGCGCGGTTTGTGCGCGAAGAGAAGGAGGCAAGCGAGAGGAGAAAATATCTGTGCAAGAAGCATTAAATCTGAGAGAAGAAACAAAGATTTGAGAGAGAGCGCATGTTTGGAGTGTGAGCATTATAAGTTTTGAGTGCAAGAAGATGAAATTCTTTTCTCAAATTGAAATGATGTGCTCTTGCATTATGGCAGGATAATTCTCCCATACTTCTGAAGCGCATCACGCTCCTCAGAAGCTCATGAGCTGCTGCTCTAAACGCTGCAGGATCTTCTGCTGCACCTTGATGTGCGTCAACCAATGACTTTGCATGTAAAGCAGCTGCTTCTGCTGCCTCTGATGCTTGCGGTCTGAACGCAGCATAAATAAAGCTTAGGTTAGCGTCGTTAACTTGCTTATGTCTCATATTAATGTGTAATTCACACTGAGAGGAACTGAAATCTTTCATCTGCAGCTGGCTTTATTTTTCCGTCTGATGGTTCCAGCTTAGCTAATTTCTCCCGTATTTCTGGATCATCTCTCTGCATGGAGCAGCGTAACCTGATGAACTATAGATTGCATGTCTCTCTCTTTCACTCATTCACACTTTACAGATGAAGGAGCCTCTCTTGTTCCTGCCAAGGCAGTGACCAAGCACATGCATTCAGCTTTTAAAATGTTCTTTGTATTTTGTTGGATGTAATGTTAGGGAATGTTTTTAATCGCCTGTGGACTTTTTCTCCGGCATCATCTGTGTCACAGATATTTTAGAGGGACATCACAGCAGGACAGGATGTGATGACCAGAAGAGTTTACTTTCATAAACTACTGTAGCAAATACATGTGAACTGCCAGGTTTGCCTCAGCTCTGCAGAGGAACTGATAGTAGTTTTTTGTTTAATTTTGAACTAGTTAAAACAGCATGCTAAAGGGACACATTTATGCAGATTCACTAGTTTTGGTGTTAATCAGCTGCAGTGTTAAAAAGCTTTGATCTTCATATAAACGCTTTACAGTCACCTTATGCTTAATTTGTTTTTAAATAGGGATGCAGGATATAATGGGCCCCCTATCGGTAACGGCCTTAAAACTGAATATCGGACATCGGCCACCCCACCGATATTTAACCCGATATTTGATCAGCTTCTGAGTTTCTAAAGTTGGAAAAAAAAAATAAATACTACTTCTTCTTCTTCCTCAAAAACTTCTTTTTTACAGACTTAAAAACTTCTAAAGACGAGGGAAAAAATATTGATCCATTAAAATATCCCAATATCTTCATATGCTGATATATTGCCATTTAAAAACACCATATCAATCTCTGTTACTAATGAAATATTGCTATATGTCATCGTTATGCTACGAAATCCCCCGAAAATTCACCAAATGTTGCCATATTTTTATATGTTGATATATTGACGCGGTATCGATCTATTTTACTAACAAAATCTCACAAGAATTTGCAAAATATCACGAGAGTTTGTAACAGAACGATGAAATTTCACCAGATTTTGAAAGTAAAATAGATCGATACCGCGGTTTTAAAAATCTATTTGATATCAGCATATGAAAATATATTTGAGTATATTATTTTTCAAAGTGTTAGAAATGGATAACAAAACTGCTATTTTCAATGACTACTTATTTTTGTCCAGCTTTAACATCGGTATCGATATCGGTTATCGGCTACATGAGGTTTAAAATATCGGCATATCGGATATCGGCCAAAATGCCAATATCGTGCATCCCTATTTTTAAAGGAAAAGTCGCTAATACTCAAGATTTAAACTTCTGAAAGTTCTTTAAATCTGAAATGATTCCATCCTGTTCAATAAATGATCCGTGTTTTTAATTCAGAGTAATTTCCATGTGAATGTGCTTTACTGGAGGCATCCATGTTTGTCAAAGAACACTACTGCCACCTACTGGTTAGTGACGTCACGGTGCGGTATCGGCTGTTGATCAAGTCCCAGTGCTGTATCTGGTGTTTGTCACAACGCGCTATTATCCAAGTCATCTTGAAAACATTCTTCTTCCAAATGTCGGCTACATATTACGGGTTTTTTCTCTGGCCAGAAGTTCGATGGCAAATCCTCCCTCTTCAAGTTGGCGATCCAACGACCAACCCGTCCGTGGAGGATCAGGAATCAGAAAGGTGGAATAACTCTTTTTTTTTCCACTTTTCCCCGATGGATTCCAACATTTTCTTGTAAAGCGGGGAGAATGGCGCTAGGCTAACCGCACCGTGATGTCACTGCCGGATTAGTAGGGAGGGGTTACTATATTTGGGCAAAAATGGCCGCCCCCAGACTCAATGATCGCAACGAAAATTATTAAATTTTTTTTACTGATTAACGCTAAATTCATTAAATCACCGCTAACGTATTAGTTTAGGTATAAAAAATGATTATTCCTCGCTGATCGGATTTTTCCTTAAAAAACGTTATAAATTTTCAGTATGGTTGTTTCCTGCCGTTCGTTGACCAGCTCTGATATTCTTAGGAGGAAATATTGAAGAATAGCAATTAGATGGACATTTAAACTGCATATTTCTTCTCTTTGTTTCTGTCTGATTTGTAACCATAGCAAACAAACATATCTGCTCTTCGGGTTATTGATTGAATCATGCCTGCAGTAAACCATTGTTCTTGTTTCTCGGGTTTTTCTGCTGATACTTCCTGCTGATAAGCTCAATCACAGTGTGAATGAGTTATCAGTCATGTTCAGCTGCCGTCGGACTGATGTAACACGTCTGACTTGCTGCACACATTACACTGCAAAAAAAGAAATCTAAATACGTCCATTTTCTCTTGAATGAAGGAGGTATGTGTGACAATGTGCAAATGGAACAAGACAATTTACATTTAAAATAAGTAAAAAACAACAGTAGTCTCTTATTTCAAGTGCATATTATCTAATTAAATTATTTTAAGAGTAAAAAAGCTCATTTAATCGGCAAATCATCTTATTTACCTACTAAAATTAAAGGTAAATACACTTGATTTAAGAAATTTGTACTTATTTCTAGATGTTTTTGCAGTGTAGAAACCAAGTAGCCTCTGAAACCCTTGTCTGTTATTTGTGCCTCATTTGGTTGAATACATTGTTTGTTTATTTATTTATTGTTTTGCCAAGATGTCTTTTATTTGCACATTTGCTGTCAAAGCATTGCTCCTCCTTTCACTTTCTCTGGGAATTTAGAAGTTTAGAAGAAGCCTTTGTGCCAAAAGGGTGCATGAAGTCCAGAGATGAAATGATCCGGTTAGAGGAAAAACTGGGCTTAGTTTCCGTTCAGATAATAAGGAAATAAGAAGCTTTGCAGATTTCATCCCCGGATGAACATGGATTCTAAGTGCTTATCTTATGTAAACATTTTCTTCTGTCCATAAACTGGCGGAATGTTTTAGAAAAACCAGCGAGTGCCGCTAAGCTTTCATCTGAAGGAATGCTTTGCTTTGCTTTCTCCTCTTAAAACAAAGATTGTTTTTTTAAACTAAAATCTGCTCTTAGAAGAAAATCCTGTAAATGTTTAGTGGAACCTTACGAAACATAGAAGTGTTTAAAATGTTTTTATTTATGAATCCAGTCATTCCAAAATAGTTCAAAAACAATCTACTGGACTTTGTTTCCAAGTTTAAAGATGTTTCTCTTCCATCCAGGAAGATTTTTCAATTCAAAATGTCAGAAATAGC